TTATCGCTTTTGATAGAGCTGCAGTTTTAATTTTAATTTTAAATCCAGTCAATCTCTCAATACAACATATACTATTATTCTGTTTACCTTCTTGTATGCTGTGCGGATTTATTTTACAGTATCCTTATGATTTCACTATCTCCTTGATTAATGTCATTATAATTTACATCCCATGTTAAGATGGCTATATTTTTTAAACCTCTTGGTTGTGAATTCAATTCGTGAATGTTATATTAAATTGCTATAGCACTATTTTATATTGATTATTTGGCACTGAAATGGATGGCGCTATACAGTCTTGTTTACGGTCTGTATGTCGCATTTCGCTTAATTCTAGCAAGTGCTCGTCGAGATTGCTTTTCTTCTACTTAATAAATTGATTTGGTTATTTCGGAGGTTTTGCCTGTATTGAGGGCAACATTGACATACTGCATTTCACATATAAAATCTTCTTTATGATTGATCTCATGCCATTGATCACCGAGGCATCGTGATAAACTGACCATCTAAATTCTACAGTAGTGTATTTGTGAAGATATTTCGCCCTGGATACGAAGCTATTTTTCGCATCTTCCGTACTCTCTCTATCGTTAGGTAACAGACTGAAGGCGTAAATATCGGCGCCTGAAGATGTTATATCTCATAGAATCTTCTTTGAATGATGACAGAGACTCCGATTTAATCAAGGCGTCTTGTTTGCTCAATTTTACTTTTTCCAATTTCAATCAGAAGATACGCTATTGAACACTGCATTAAAATCCTACATTGAGTAGCATTGAATCATCCATGGTTATATTATTATTTTTCGTCCAACTTTGTCCATTTTGAATTAGGTAGATCAATGCAAGCTGTCTTCTTGCTGATCAATAGACCGTGTAAAATATTCATTTATGGTATAGAATGATTGAAAGCGCGTGACTTTATTGCATTATGAGTTATGTAATGATGATTGATTAATCTATTTGCAAAACAAGTTCCATCATTGCATGTTACGTTTTTAGTTTATGTACGCGTAAATACTACCATGTCGGTATTCTATTCTCTATATCACAGAATATATGTTGCTGTTGATTGTCCAAGAGACCATTGTACTTGATTTAGAATCACTTATTGTAAATTGTTAATACTTGTACGGATAAATCCATGCCATCATTGTAACTTGAATTACTGAGTGCAGTAGTCTGCATTCTATCGCGCCATATCCAATACTGGCAATGTGGCCACATCTACTGCATAGGTAAAACCGCAATTTTCCCCTCTATCGACAGTATCCTTGTGTGGTGCCTACGGCATGATGCTGTGATTATGTTTAGTAGAATTTCTACTAATTGAACCTACACGATGGATGGGCAACAGCCAAATCGGATGCTTTGAACTCTCCCTTTCTTTTCCGAACACTAATATCGCGGATTATAGTAAGAGAGAGAGAAGGAGACGTTGGAAAAGGGGTAACAATTTTACTTGAGAGGTCCCAGCGTATCGCTAGGACCACTCAAGTCAAACTATTACCCTTTCTCCACCGTCTATTGCTCGCTATCGCTCTCCCTTTCTTTCCTAACACGAATATGGAGGATTATAGTAAGAGAGAGAGAAGGAGATGTTGGAAAAGGGGTAACAATTTTACTTGAGAGGTCCCAGCGTATCGTTAGAACCACTCAAGTCAAACTATTACCCTTTCTCCACCGTCTATTGCTCGCTATCCCTCTCCCTTTCTTTTCCTAACACGAATATGGCGGATTATAGTAAGAGAGAGAGAGAAGGAGACGCTGGACAAGGGGCGACATTTTACTTGAGAGGTCCCAGCGTATCGTTTCAGATCGACAGTACTGTATCGTATCTTACTGTACCCTACAGTGTACAGTACGCACTCTACAGTGTGCAGTGTGAAGTACTGTAGTGGAAAGGCCGCAAAGCGTTTTGGGAAAAAAGGAATTACTGTACACTGTACAGTAACGTAGTCAGCTACAATACTGTACAGTATAAGGAAAATTCTTGTCTTGTTCTGCACTGGACATTAATATAGTGTACTGTACTTTAGGTGAGGGTACCGCATTTGCGCGGCGATACTGCCTTAGGTTTCTGTTTTCTTAAGAGTGGGACGGTCTTCGCTCCATTTTTGCTGAGATCGGCTGTAATGAAAGGCTATTTACTTTATTTTGGAGACGGCACTGATGAATAGAGAGTAGCTACTGTCACTATTGACCGGATGGACTGCTCCTATGAGAGTACTGTACACCGTACTTAGGAGCATAATCGGACTCCGCTGAAACCGTAAAGCATTTTCACCAGTTGTGAACCGTTTGGTAAGACTGTTCGACAGGTGTAATTGCTATGCAATCCAACTTGACCGCCATACACAACTGAATGGCAACATCAAAAAGTTGCAACCTGACTTGAAAATTAATATTCTCCATGTCAATGACTGTCGTGGCACCTTTGAAATGCAAAACGACGGCGTAACTTATTGATGATTTTCTCTGCTACTGGCTGGACCGCCATTTTCAATTGGACGCCGTCAAATTGGCTGAAAGTGCTGTGACGTGTGGCAGCAGCTGAGGCGATACAACGTCATCCACCTGGACGCCAGAGCCCAATAACAACACCAACTTGATACTGTCAAGGCTCCACGTGGGTCCAGCTGGATGCAATGGCTGCTCTTGCTCTCTTTCTATTCCTTGATGATCATCAATCACAAGCTCGCTAAGCAACTGCATCACTATGGCAGTAGAAGTCGTTTTCTTTTTTGGCCCTCCACATACTGTAAGCTAACAACAGAGCCATCATGGTCCATTGAACAGTCTACTATTTCGCTTGCATGCAATATCGAGCTGCATGGTATCTTGTTATGGCTGCATCGTAGAATGAGCGAAGAGTAGTCAATCAAGGCCAAAATAGTCTAATTTTAATTTACCTCCATGTCCAATTAAGCATGCAATTAAAGCAAATAGCCAAGGCCATAGGGTAATTGATATCTTGGACGGATAAAATGTTTCATTAAAGGGTGTTATGGCTAACGGAACGCCAAAGCGTCTTAATAGAGTGATCTGGCTATGAGTCAAGTTTTGATTAGGATGTTGTTTACAAAATGAAACACCCTGTGCATAATCAGGCTTGCGGTAGTTGAGCAGGGATCTCATCCGATGCATTTGCTTCCTTTTAATTTCTACTCACTTTGATTCTAAGCTTTTACTCAATTATACTTATACTGTATTGATGTGTGTGCGATGAGAGGTAAGCATCATTGTTTACGTTTTGCAAGCAAGTACTGATACTCTACTACAGTAGCTACAGTAGTTATCCACTGTCGATCCGAAGAGAGAGTGTTTTAGTTACTTTTTGAATAATGTCAGCCTTGGTGTCTATTAGTTGGTTACAACTTGATCGATATTCATATCTTGACAGTTATTGGTAGGAGATATATCACCTACGTACCCTACAACCGTATCTGATATACAATATTATTTTGCTTACTAGGGTAAAACTTGTTACTACTTGAAGCATTTTGCTGCCACTCATCGCAGAGTTTCAGCTCGAGAGCTTTTTCTTCGTCAACCTGATACTTGCTTGCGTGAAGTTATTCTAAAAGTTGTTCAAAATCTTAGGCAGGTAGGATGGAATGGAACTGGTATTGTTGAATCCATGCGATCCTCTCACTACGCGCATATTTAGAGTATTATTATAGCTATAAGATGGCTTGATTCGTTTTCACCTACTCTTGATAATATATTCTGTACATAGGCTGCTGTATAAGAGTATGTTTCAGTCAAGCCTGTAACTACTAGCTTACATTCCTGGTAGCTAAACTTTACCCCCGACCAATGTCGCTAAGTGCTGATGGAATCAATGTTGCATTATTTGTATTGATCTTAACAGGGTTTCAATGTTGTTGTCGATGACGAGCATTGGTCTGTCAGTACTAGAAACTCCTACCTTAAAATCATAAAAGATAAAGTAAGTCAAGAGAAACTATTTGTAGCGACTAAATGATAGATAATACTGTAGAATTATTCGTTACATTATAGACCGCGTACTATCGATCAGTTAATCTAGCATTTTGTCTCCAGGTCCCAAAGTGCACCTTTGCGTGTTATGTCTTTAATCCGCATCCAAATCATGGTAGATTGCAGTGTTGGTGGGCTCGAGAATGGGCTCTGGCAAAGTTTTCATTAGTTAAAATGCATCATAGCCCCAATCGTAATGCCGACTATAATTATCCTAGCCGGCCTATGGAAAGCGATAAGAAATTCGATCGGTGGTTTGATGATGAACTTGGTGGCAAAATGTATGGAAATAAATTATCCGAGCCAGGTTCGCATTGCGACAATAGATTGAATTAAATTGTACAAAGTACAAAGTATTTCAAATTTTTAATTTTATTAATTTTGCGAAAATGCTATTACTCATAAATTTGCTCGTATTAATGTTGAACTGTTACTTTACTACGCGTACTATAGAGAAACCAACATGGGAAGAATTTGAAAACCTACACCAACCCAAGCCTACACTGTTCTGTAATTCACCGTATCAATTAGAATTACCTGCCCTCTTTATAGAATGGGAAGCTCTTTTAGTCGAGAAGGATGAAGATAACAAATTTTCCATTAAAACTAAAGATGGTATTGTAGATGCCATTCGTCTGTGGTCAAACGCTAATCCTACTGGTAGGATAATAGTCGTACGGGTTGGAAGACATCGTTGTGGTACGCCAACATACTAGCTAATTCTATCATTCTTCAGATATGCATCAAAGACAGCAACGTATAGATTGGCTGTAATTTAACATGTACAACTTACTTATAACATGCTTTACAAATGTAGTCAAAATATGGTCTACTACATAATAATCACACTTAATCAATTATTCAACACTAGGTCAATCTGACTCAGAACAAAGCAGTCTAGAACTGGATGAGAGCACTGCTACTAAAATTACTAATGCTAAAATGTGCTCCTGTGTCAAAGATATGCGCTACATGATAGGAAAAATCTGCACGGAGGTACTGGAAGTTATCTTTCAATTTGTTTCTTCAACACGCGTGTGTCTCCTAATTTAGTAATTGTATTACGATACATTATTGTTGCTAGCTAACGGCGGTCCCAGTTTTTTTCACTTTTGTTAACGATCCGACGAAATCAGGCCTATTTACGTTATTACCACGCCCTGGCATTATTGCATGGCTCCAATTTATACACAGGCTAAATCTCTTCCATCAATCCACCTTGTATGTTACGAGTTCACATTATCATACTCAATGTGCTGACAATGCTGGTATCAAAAGTATTCCCATAAAGAAGTTACTACGCAACCCACGTCAGGTGCATATTTTATATGTATTTATTATCATTACTGCGATAGTCTTTCAATATTTTATGAAAACTGCTCTGAAATGAAGCTAACTCTGGATACCACATTATAGATTATAAGTATTCGCAACAATGCCCATGTTTCGTGCTTGCCCGACATTGTACGAAATTTCGAATACACACGGTCTGATTACGTCGATTTAACTCAGAGTACTAATGAAGCAGAAGTTATTCTGTCAAAAGACCGCGATATAGTGCCTTTTTATAAATGTAATACCTCGGATTGTCACATTCTCCATAATGAATTGAGCTGTTGTCTAATATACCATATGGCTGATTATGGTCGCCTGCATGGTGCTTGCTATAAGACACAAGCCGTTTTCGATAGGTAAAAATGATAATTACAGTAGTTATTTCCCCTGCTTGTTGTTCATTATTTCTTTCTAATATCTCACGCATACTTCCAAGTTATATTAACTTCTACGTGGAAAAGGCCTCGCGAAGTATTGTACGTAAAGTATCACGAAATTTTATAGAAAGCAAATTATCACAAATATCTCAAGAAAGCTGTGACTTAGCGGATGAAAATCCCGTTTCAAACAGTAAGTTCATCCAATTATATTTGAAAATAGATGTAAAGCTCATTTATTTGATTAGTGCAGACGGGAAACGATTGTCTAGTATGCTAAAAAGATTCATGTATCACTTACATAATAAAGAACAAACACCTAACAAAATTAAAGTGACATTGAAAGATATCCAAAAAATGGCAGCTAGCCCAGCTCATTTTTCACGCGGCATGCAATACAAAGATAATATAGAATCATTGACACCCATACGCAATGACAGCAACGGCTTAATGACATTAAATTGTGTCTGTAAGTGAATTTACTTTAATAAGATGTACACATTAGTGAATTATACCGAAGTTGTTATTTATCAGACGGTGTCGACAATATTCTATTGGAGACTACATTATCAAACTTTCTGCTACCATCTTGTATAGGCAAAGGAACCCGAGATGTGCCATACAAGGCTTCAGCTGTTATTGGCTGTTCCGGTAATAAGACAATCAGATAGTACTTCTAACTGCGTACTCAATCGCATTTATGCGTTTGCTTGTTTACAAGTTAGCCATGTTGTGTTTATAGGTATACTCTCCGCTCAATGCTCCTGTCCTGTTGGTATGACAGGCACATGCAAGCATGTTACTGCTATGTTGTTAGTCCAGTTAGATCAACAGAGATCAAATGAAGATGATACTACGGTATTGAATAATTATTGAATATCATGTCTGAGCATGATCAACGTAATGATAACATCGGGCATATTCTTAGGATGAAGAAAGCGGATCAGAAGAGCGGACGATGCGCAAACCATCACCTACACTAACACGTAAACAGTCAAATAAATTCCGGTCGCTACCATCGTGGCTGAATTCCACACAGGTTAATAATCACTTTCTAATAGCTGTAGATTTTTAATTTTTATCATAACGTTGACTCGATGAATCGGTCATGTTGTATGGATGGCTTATGCATACTACACGTATCTTCCGTCAATGTTATAATAGAGCACAACGGATAACGAATCTGTTGAAACTAAAGGCGCACAACAAGAAACCTCTAAGGACATTAAAACACAACTCGATTTTAGTGATTCAAAGTTAGAAAATGCTACCCCAAATTTTTCAAATTCAGTCAGTGATGACGATTTGATAAATGACTCCGAAGCAACACAACCCTATGATATGAATAACCAACAAACAAATGGTGTGCAATTAACTCGCCATCTAACGCCTGATCTCGCACAAGTAAAAACAAGTTCGATGGGATTTAAGAGAAAGAAAATGTATGTAGTATTCGTCATCACTGAATATTCAGGGTTAACTAAGCAGTAATTAGCATTTCCCTTCCTTACTTTGATATTTATTTTGAATGCGAATTTGTGAATAGCATACTCATTTTAATAATTTTTTAACCTTAATTGTAACCCACTAGAAAAGCTAGAAGATTAATTGCAACGACCTTGATTCGCGATTATTATTTGTGACGCCATATATTTTAATTTTAAACTAACATTTTCTTGTACCAGAACTAAGCAAGAAGCAGTAAAAAGAATTATATACCATATGTCGGTGCAAGAGCTGGTTGACACTGCTAGAGAAATTGTAAATGTTGAGGTATAGACAGTTGGACATTGCTAATCTAGCTAGATGTTTTAGAGCTTAGATATGTTACATGGTATGTGTTAATGAGAGTACCAATACACAAACTTTTAGCGCATGAAAACAGGAGAGAATCTGAGCTCCGATAGCAATGCTCATACAAGTCAAAATTCCAATGACAAAGACGATGAATCGGATTCCAATCGGTATTTAAATTTAGTTACACTTAATTTATTATACATATATGTACTCAAATTCGGTAAAGAAATATGATTTAGCATGACTTTAATATTTCTTTGTGGTCAAAGTGAAACGAAAACTCAAAAAGCAAACATTACCTGTAATGATATTCTGGATGAACTATTTTCCGATAATCTCAACGGCCAACCCAATACACTGTAAATAAATATTGCAAATATTGTGTAGTAATTATAATCAATCTAATAAGAAAGTAGATTGCACTATTGATATTTTTTATCAACATATTCTTGAATAGGCCAACGCCGAGTGAATCTTTTAAAAGGAATCGTAATCGTAGCAGCCTCGGTGACAGTAGGATTCTGGTTCAAAAATCATTTCTACAGAATCAGTCTGACTCGATTTTAGAAACTGTACCTGGAAGCTACATTCCAGAAACTTTTATTGATAGCATCCAACCAAATAAACGAAAGAGTATCTGGGTCGATCCATCCCCCGAAGCTACTTCAACGACAAAGTTACAAAAATGTCATGATGATAAGGACATTGTAAGCTACGTTCCGGAAACTCCAACGTCAAGCGAAGACGCTATTCCTAGTGTAAATAAATCTTATCAATCATCATTACGTAGTAGTGTTAGTCAAACGAATACTGGTAATCTCTGGGAAGCGAGTAATGAAGGCAACTCTTTGAAGGAAACAGATCGTGGCAAAGTTGAACCTGTAATTGATTTATCATTTTTGGATGAACTAATCTAAGTCTGGTTGAATTATTAGCCAATCCCCTGTACAGGACTCCTGATTTGAGATTTCTATCTGTACTATTGGCGACTATTACTCAGTTTCTACAATAGCTATCAAATTGTCATTTAAATACATATATATGTATATATATACTCACGACTGCATGATTTTTCTATACGTTGCGTATTTGTTTTGTATTTATACTTGTTAACCCCTCCTCTATATTGTAGTATATCTGAGTTACAGTAGTTGGATTTTACTATGATTTTATAATGATATGTAATTTAAGCAGCAAATTAAATATTTCTAAATCTTAAAGTGCCGGTATATGCTTCCTGCAGTAGATCTGGTATTGAAATTATTTCTTAGCTAGTGATGAGATATGCATTCATTGAATGCCGTGAAAGCATTACTAACGACAACGCAAAAAGAATTACTGGTTCCTGAAATCGCCATTCATTACAAACTGATTAGTCATCATTTCAACAATGCATTTGTCTAGAAACTCCATAGTGTCATTTTATTAACATCAAAATGTATTAGCAAATTAGCATTTCCATTTCTAATTTTATATATACAAGTATAATCGACTAGCAACAATTAGAGAGTAGTTCGAAAACAAGAGTCGATATTTTACAGCGATTAAATCTTAAATCGTCTACCGTCGTTTCTTATGCCTTAAATCAAAAAATTGTCAACGTAATTCAGGTCGTGAACAAGGAATACGGATGCTTAATCCCATCCAGTAGTAACAGTTTTCGACTGTTGTAACTCATTTCTCACTAACTTTCTTTTGATTCGTCGCTACTAGAAATAATAGCAAGAGTCTAGCCGAAGACATTTCCTATTATGGTTTGTAATTGAATATTGATATTGTCTATTCAGACATACTCCACTTTAAAAACTATGCTATATATAGTAGCGTTCAAAACTCCCCTTTCATTTGAAGACATACTCAAATTTCAATCATTACGCACGCCATCATAAATACCTGTAACTAACGAATAAAGCATACATATAGGCGTATCTAGCCTATTCAAGATTGTTCATAGCGCTTTGTTACTGAATTGGAGAACTACTCTATTGCACGCTAATAAGTAGCCTTCAACTCGTGGGATCCATCGCAATCAGTTTGTTCTACACTTGATATGATAATAGTCAATTTATACATGCCAAATCTAGCGATGGTGGTTGTCGTCTTTCCATTATTGACTAACAATGAGACAATTAAGAAATGATAAAAGGGACGATTAATAAGATGTAAATGAAGTCAGTATCACCTTGATTAATTATAAATTGGATAATAATTCAATTTTCATCTGTAATTAATTTATTGACTGATGAGTCAAATATGAAAACAACTGTGTCGGTTAAATAAAAAGAATAATTAAAATTGGACCATTTTGCACTTAACAATGACCACTATGGCAACTTCAACGATCATTGGATAATTAATATTATCTTATCAACAACAAGATAAATTTATACAGTTCATCTAATTCATCTTCTTTTTTTTAATCAGTCATTGTTGATGATAATACTATTCAACACGGATAATTGCCTTGTCCATGATAGAGTCAATGCCTAGAAGCAACATTGTACCCTTCTTCATCAACTTATTTTAATTTGCCTTCTACCGGTAGCACCATCATATCTAAGTTAACCCTGAGCCGATTTTAATCGCAGAATACACGCTGAGCTAGATAGGAAGGTAATATGTGCCAGGTTGATCGTGCCGAGTTCAAAAAGTATTATCCCTAAATTAATTCATAGAGAAGATTCAAAAAAAGTGATCCAAAAATTGACTCATCCATCCACTTCGCATTTTACTCACAAAATCGATTTATCTATATACATTTTTAGCTAATAACTTTGAAGCCTTATCCGTTCTTTTCGAGAACAAAAGCAACGTTATCAAAATTGGCCTGAAAGCATCATGATGCTGCCACAATCAAGTTGAAAAGATCTTATAGTAAGAGCACAAAAAACAACGAAATTGCTTCATCGATCACATTATTTCCCATCATTAAACGATCTATGCCATCCAGCGTCTTCATTTCCAACTCTTCTCGTTGAACCAAGATAAGTAGATCGAGCTGTCATCGATTTCACACAATTTATGAAAGGGTTTACGAAATTACAAAGTATCAAAGGTAAGCGTTGTTACAATTAAACTTTGGGGATGTTATATAAACCATCCATAGCACGATAGTGACTGACAAGATATCTAAGGACCGAATGCGTCCAATTTTTCGTACCCTAATTATCCGTGTTTAGTCTTGTTTGCATACTGTACTTGGCGTTGAAAATGACTGATAAAAGACTTGTATCTTTACACGAAGTAAATCTACCGCTTTATTCACTTATAATTCCTACATCCATCTAAGCGATAATGATAATGATAAATTCATTTGCTACAGTCTTAAAAATAGTAAAGCTCTTCATAGTGTTGCTAACGCCGGATAAAATTTGTTAACTGTGTCTTCGTAAGCCTTTACAGTTCTTCCCATGCTCAAATAGAAGCAGAAGATATATACTATCATTTGTGAAGTGAAATCTTGATTACGCAAATAGATTAATTAATGATGAAATTAATGATCACTCCAATATTAGATCTCAATCACAGATATGAAGATTATGAACCCCATTCATTACAAAATAAAGGAGTTTTAATATTCTTATCATTAAAGTAACTCGGACATTTTGACAACACCAGGCTTTCAGAGTTTATCAGTGAAAGTGATGGTAATTCTCGGCCACTGTAGATTAAGGTAGATCTACCAAATAGAACTAGCTTAACCCTATATAAACATATCAATTCAGTAAGAAATGAAAGATTACTGCAATACTCTTATAGAATAATCTATGGATAAGAACAAAAACGCCTAGGCTAGATCGAATACCCAATAGGATTATTTCCTAACTGATTTATTCAATTTATTGGAAATGTAGTTTAGCTATTGGTAAAAGCTGTATCCTATTGCTATAGCGTGCTTCTACTAATACCGTCATACGGGTATGTTGGTAAATAAAGGCTTTCGAGATTTTTTCTTAAGTGCCGGTACCACGCGATTATCGCCATCACGTAAATGAAAAATTTCGTTTGCAGTACCCAACAGCAACATCGATTCTCAATTTTTATTCATCGTTCGTTTGATCAGTGAATTTAGAGGCGCTTTCATAACTATCAAGAGAATCAATTTTGTCGTTTTAATTTAAGATTTCCTGCCGTAATTCGAGACGTGCTCATATAGCCCATGGTCCCCATTTCCCTCAGCACCATTGTCGTACCGTATTATTTTTTATTTTTTATTCGTTTACAGATTGACACTTTAATGAATCAAGTAACTTTTAATCGCTTTAGCGTACCTTCAGATTATAAGTCTCAATGGTTCATTACAATTAAGATATCCTTCTCTATCAGGAAATGTTTTTGTAGTCTGTTGGATATTGCTACACCAATACAACTGATGTTTATGCGAGTAAATTGCAATACAAATCAACCAATCATGGTTATATAACGGAATTATTTGTTCGTTTCATCCGATTTATGAGTATTAATGAATCGCAATGGAATAGTGTAGTGGCTAGGGTAATCTTATTCAATCTATTCATGCGTTCCATACGGTAATGAACTTGAATTTTGGGATTCTCATATTAATCTATAACTATTCTTACTATAAGCCAATTTTACAGCAGTTGGGTAGTTGATGCAAAGATATAGCGTAATTTGTTTGGCATATCATCGGAGATGAAATTCAAGATCGCTTTAAGCAAGGAGTGATGGCTGCTATCGACTTTAGGGTTAAAATTTTTAAATTATTACTTTTGCCCTAATTTACAACACTTTCAAGACATGTTATTGCCGTCTATCACATCAATACAGCCATTAGCATCTTTCTTTAGCATATCAATAAATTACAATGAAGTCCATAAATATTAAAACCTATTGCCACCTTTAGGTATTAACACACTTTTATCCCCCGGCATGATTAATAGTTGAAATTTGTTAAGGATTGAAATTAATACGCTGAAAGTAAATCTACTCTTTGTTTGTAAAATTGAACAATTAGTCTTCAAAAGCTGCAAAGCTTCGCAAACTCTCGAAATTCGAATAGAGTTTGAATAATTGAAGATTCCGTGCTAAAAAAAATCGATATATCCACAGTATGTAGCTCAGAAACACTTTATAATTCTTGTAGTAGAATATCTATGATATCTTAAATAAAAGAAGTCACAGGCCATAATTTTCTTTATACGTTTATCCATCCACTAGCATTAATAAATCTATAATAGTTATGGAATTTACATACCACAAATTTCAATTCTTCCTGCGATTAAAATGCCGATAACAAAATAATTCAACTGACTCATCAATACTTTATTGAATTTCAAAAATGGAAGGATGAAAAAATATTTTATCGGGCATTCCTTTAGCCTAATTATTGAAAATTATCCATATTATGAAGAAGTCTATTAAAAGCAATCAAGAATTTATATTATTTGCCAATAACTCCCACATACTACGGTTCAATAACGCTCTTCTATTTTCTAACAATAAATATCGTAGATATAGTATCCTGTAAAAGCTTTCAACAAACTATCGATAGTTTTTTAACAGTAATACACGCTAATACAATCTTGAGTTTGACCACTATCAATAGCTTTATCCATGTATCTTGAAAGGAAGCTGTGGACTGCAATAATTCATTCATGAATTATCGATGGATAGAATGGATCCAAAAATAGTAATAGGACTATAGTATGGTAAATTGAACTCGGTATTATTCTTATACTAATCCTACGCCAAAATTGACAGCAATCTATCTGGTTCTATTCATTAATGGAAGGGACATTCAAGCTTAAAGTTGTTCGATAATGTTCACAATGAATCGAAAATCATGGAATGATTGTATATCTCAAACAGAGAGGGAGGCAATAATCCTAAGGCGATATAGAAATAGAAAGATTAATTTTCCATTTTGGGGGAAATAATACCAATAGCTGTCATTTTGAAATGGTTATAGACAATAATTCATGGACTATGATTTCATGGCTTAGCTTGATTATAGTGTTAGGCATTGATAGAATTAAAAATTATATCGATAGAAAGATTGATTTTCTAATTTTTCGTAAACAATCCCAATAGCCATCATTTTGAAATAGTTATAGGCAATCATTTTGATGTCGAGACTTATTGGCTTAGCTTGCTTACAATATTAGACATTGGTAGAATTGAAAATTAGATCAATAGAAAGATTGATTATCTAGCCTTTCATAAACAATCTCAAAACTGTCATTCTGAAATAGTTATAGATAAAAATTTAGGTGTCATGATTTCATAGTTTAGTTTTCTTATACAGTTAGACATGGATAGAGTGAAAATGGAAAGATTTGATCTTCAATTTTTTATAAATAATCCCAATAGCTGCGATTTTGAGAATGGCTGCGAGCAATAGTTTGTGTGTCATGATTTCATGGCTTAGCTTGCTCATAGGGTTAAGCATTAATAGAATAAAATTGGAAAGGTTGATTTTCGAATTTTGGGGTCAATAATCCCAATAGCTGACATTTCGAAATAGTTACAGGCAATAATTTGAATGCCATGATATCATGGCTTAGCTTACTTATAGAGTTAGGTATTGATAGAATTTTAAATCGAGGCATAATCGATGAGCATCAAATCGATGCAGACAATCCTGTAAGTAAACATTCAGCAATTATTATCTCTATTCAGAATTCGAGTGCAACTTATTCTGAATTGATTGATTGTCTGTAATTTAGTATCTATATTAGAGCACTGGCAAGTCATGACAACGAATAAGCACGTGTATTTTACTGGAAACTTTATTTAACAGTAGACTATAAGTACTTTAATATTCCGATTACCAATTCTCTATTGTTTTGCATTATCTAAGATTTCTACACTTTAATTTTTATTGAATAAATTTATCGTGAGAAATGAAAAGCAGATCACAAGTGCCTTCATATTTAGATTGCCAGTTCTCTATTTTATTCGCCATTGGCTGACTTTTCTGGGCTTCAATTCTCATTGAAAAACATTATCATGATGAATATAGGATTTATACTTACTCGATTTATTTCCGTCAGTATTTCATTTCCACTCTACGTATCGTTGTACTCCGTCATCGCAGTATATATCACCATGAGTTAAATTGAAATTTAAAAAGACTTTTTAATACTGTGTTCTAAGAAGCGAAATGACTATAGGATGTTTGTGAAATAGTAAACTTGATGTAGAGTTGTTACGGAGTAACTTTTGCATAGCTTTTATAACATAGTTTCCATAAGATAACTTATCTAAAAATGTGTTCACATTAGTTTATCTATAACGTTTTGCATCTTTTCAATAGATAACGGTATAGTTAGATGATGTTATCTATAAACTAATAATAAATGTTTATGTCGATTTACTATAAAATTGACTGGCGTTTCAAGAGAGACTAGCATTGCTGTTCCTCTTGATGATAGGAGATTGTCAGTATTTAGAGCCGCACTGTAAGTAGATATCGGGGAGGACAAACTTGACAGTAAACTCATAGGTTTATTTTTTGTGATAGCTTAATTTTCTCCTCGCCACAAATTTCGATTTGTGGTAACAGTTTATTTCATGGATATGATCATCGCATCGATCTATACGGATTGCGAGTATTTGGTATAACTTAAGTAGTATAAGTATAGTAAATACCTTATATGATAAACGCATAAATTTAAATAGCGAAATGATCGTTGAATATTTGTGAAATAGTAAATTTGATGTACAGTACTGTATATTCCATGTATATGATAATCATATCGAGCTGTATAGATACTAGTAACGTCAATATTTACTACCCATTGCGAGTACTTGATGTGACTTAACTAGTAGGCATATTGTGGATACTCTATTCAAGATGGCCTATTTCTTTACCATGATAAATTTTATGTTTACTTGCATACAATATTTACTCATGGCAAAATCTTGCCCACAGGCAAGCTTAACTGTATCTTTTCTAATATTAATTTGTTGTTTTCTATCTTTCACAGAACTATACCCGGCATGATTAAGCATCGATCAAGCAGTCAGTAATTTCATATTTAACCTATTAAGCCTTTCTATTGCTACAATTTAAAGAAAACAAAACTTGAAGAAATATCTTATCTCCTATTAAATTATTTATCCTTTCTATTTGTTAACTGATCCTTTATTATGGCTAGAAGAAGCGATCCATTAGCTCACTCTTGGTCTGGTAATAGCATGGTCTTACCGCCGATACCAAATCAACATCATAGCGAAGCTCCAACTCCTTTACGCCATCATCGTAATCATGGGGTAGCCACATCAAGTCATGATGCCAATCATAACGTAAAGTTAGTTCCAAATCATATAGGACGTCTGCTAAGTGAACAACATGGACGTAGCAGAACATTAAGTAGTCCGATGATGTTTGATCGCCAACGCGCCAATTCATTTACAGCAGCAGCCTCCAATTCAATTTTAGCTATAAGCGAGAGTGAAAAAGCTATGAAACAATCCAATTCTATTGATACTATCGATCATAAGAAAATGTTGAAAAAACTACATCATCGTTCGGTAACTATGATCTCCATTAATGGTAGTTTAGGTCATGATAATGCAGGGGCAGTATCATTAACCGATAAAGCACTATTAAGCCCCAAGTTGTTACGTTCAGCACGTTATTCCACACCGGCAGCTGTATCCAATAATATTGAATCAGAATCAAGTAGAGGTGGTTCAGAAAATCCCAGTCGGCCTGTATCCATCGATGATTATAAAACTCTATTAGGAACAATGGATCAAGAAAGCAATAAATTGCAGTCACTAAATGATCCAGATACACGAAATCATCAATCACATCATGCTGATCAAGGCACAAACGACGAAAATGATAATTCAGCATTAATTGACGACGATCATTCCAAGAAACAACAAGGCAATAGTGTGGACAAAAATCGACGTATTCGTCCAAGTCAAAATAATCCAACAGAAGTCGGCCAGCACCAAGCTGATCAAGACTATCGAGCTGTTAATCGTGCAAAATGTGAAAGCTGGCTGGATGGCTTAAAGGATATTGATTATAGCATGCCTACAGCAGACGTGATTACCGATTATAACGATTAAGTACTACAGAAATGTTGTACTGCCTTCCATCACTACAAATTACCTCTCTTTCATGAAGTTTCCATTTTAAATGATCTGTAACTATTTAGTATATTTTTGATTTTAAAAAATTAGTATGAGCAAGTAGTCGGTCATCAATATGACCAGATATTGCAAGCAAAATCGATCTGAATATAATAGGGAAACTTAGTTTCTGTTGATGTAAATTATTGAATGTAATGTAGTGGTTATTTTGGAATTTTGAGGACGTTCTCATTTTTGTTCTTGATAAATTCACACGCTTGAAAACAAGTTTTATTTCTCCTTGGTTAGCGCGATCCTTACAGCTGCTAAAAAAATATTCTTGAAAAAAATTAAGTCACTGTAATAGTACTATCGGTTTTAAACTATCTTTTCTTTCCTATACACTAAAAAAAGTTAGAAAACCAGCGAATCTATATTGCAATATAGGCAGTGAATGTCTAATTCTCGAAAGATATTAAAATTGCGTGATATAGGAAGCTTATTTCGCTCTTTGACCTAGATAATTTTCAGATTTGTAGATCCTTCAAGAGGCTGCTACTTGATCTGTATTAATGTACAGAAAATGATGTAAATATGATTTATCTATTTTTCGTTTTAGCGGATTAATGTAGGCAAATAGTCTACCGTGTAATAGGACCAATTTTACGCGGTACTATGTCTAGTAAAAGTGGCTAAAATACAATAAAATGTATTGCATTCTTGCGAACATTAGTGTCTGACTAAGTTCAGAGAGAAGTGCATAAAATACTCTGTAATTATAGATTCTATCTCAATAAAATGAGCTATCGTCTGTATCAACGCGTATCGAGTGTTTAGAGCGGCATTTCCGTCATCTGTTGGCAAAGCGAGTAAGCGAGGATATCCTATTTCATATTACTGTTTGATAGCTTAGTTAGTCCATTCGTCTAAATGTGCAAGGATACACGTATATGGCTGAATCATCAGAATCAATGCTAATGTCAATCATTGTATCTTGATTAGATATATCCTCAGTTTAGCTAAGCAATTTGCTAATGGTATCGCCATGTTTGTTGATCGATCAAGGATTGCAGCGTATATCTTTTAATCGGGAGATTATTATGTTTTATTACTAAAATGAGAGTTTGATTTACCTTCTAGTAGTCTTCTTGCTGAATATGCTTAGAACTTTATGGTAATAGTATCTGATTCTATACCGATTGCATTATATCTAGTTTACTCGATTTAAAATATATTTTATGTGAACGAATAATTTTTACCACGATTTATGGTTCTATAAACAAGAATGGTGTTACTTATGAGATTCTCTTCCATTTCCCAGCTTATATCTCAATCGATATTAAATTGTACGATTTCCGCAGAAGGCCAGTATGGTTCTTTGGCAATTGGGTATAACAAGTTTCCATTTGTTAGACTCTACTAAACTGTTCCGTGTACAAAAGTGATTAAATCCTATTGAAAACGTGATTTCAAACTAATTTACGCGTAAGTTAGAGGTGTATTAATCCTGCAAGGCACAAGGCTTTAGGGCTAAGGCAGGGGTATGGCCTTCAATCATGGCAACCTTGAAAACGGGTAACAAGCATTATCCTAGTCTTGATTGATTTTATTATTGCAAGGGGAATGGAGTATTCTTCCCTCCATTTAATACTCATTGAATGGATACTAATCATTTTACTTAAGCCTTACACAGGCGAACTTGCAGTCTAAAATAAAGTCTTTCGTTTGTATATTCAAAGCTGTAATTATAATCCATTGTAATTTGCAATGGGAATATTAGAATAGAGCAAGGAATGATATGAATATGCAATTGCGTAAGTTCTGATGGCAGAAAAACAGGTTGATTCCTGAACACAGTACGTCTAAGTCTATCGGCGTCGATTTAGATCTTTAAAATGTTTTATACTATCAAATTGCTATCATATTGGAGGATTTATTACATTTTTAATGACTTGATTAGAATACGGTATATCTCCATATTCCGATAATAGGAATATTAGAATATATCGCATTATTATTATCGTAAGGATTCCGTCAAGAAATTGCTGTAAGAAATGATTCCAGAACCATCCTTCTTGTATGATTCTGATGGAGATGCTACTAAACATTTATTATATTTATAACAGCTTAGAATCCATATCAATATCTCAATAGCATATCGTAATACATGGTATTTCGGTTCAAAATTACTATAAGATGTATTTTTGGAGTAGTCCTAGGACTACTCCAAAAATAGCCTATGTAGCATCGATTTTCATAGGCCACTAGGTATTTTTCTAGTGGTTTATTTATTTTTGGAGTAGTCTATGGGCTCGCATAGACTACTCAAAGAAAATCCGAGTAGTAGTCGTAATTCTGATGTCTATAAGGCAAATTCTTCTAGTCGTCTATATATCTTTGGAGTAGTCCAAGGACTACTCCAGAGAAAACCCATGTAGTAATGGAGATTTTCATTGGCCCTAGGTATTTTGTAGAGGTCTATCTATTTTTCCAGTAGTCCATGGGCTCTCACAGACTACTCAAAGAAAATCCAAGTAGTAGCGGTGATTTTGATGGGCCACTAGGTATTTTTGGAGTAGTCCAAGGACTATTCAAAAGAAAACCCATGTAGTAGTGAAGATTTTCATAGGCCACTAGGTATTTTCAAGTGGTTTGTGTATTTTTGGAGTAGTCTACGGGCTCGCATAGACTACTCGAAGAAAATCCGAGTAGTAGTGGAAATTTTGATGGCCATAATGCAAATTCTTCTAGTCGTCCTTGGACTACTGCAAAGAAAATCCATGTAGTAGTGAAGATTTTCATAGGCCACTAGGTATTTTCTAGTGCATAATGTATTTTTGAGTAGTCTATGCTAGCCCATAGACTACTCAAAGAAAATCCAAGTAGTAGTGGAAACTTTGATGGCCATAAGGCAAATTCTTCTAGTCGTCCTTGGACTACTGCAAAGAAAACCCATGTAGTAGTGAAGATTTTCATAGGCCACTAGGTATTTTCTAGTGCATAATGTATTTTTGAGTAGTCTATGGGCTCGCATAGACTACTCAAAGAAAGTCCAAGTAGTAGTGGAAACTTTGATGGCCATAATGCAAATTCTTCTAGTGGTCCTTGGACTACTAGTAGTGAAGATTTTCATAGGCCATTAGGTATTTTCAAGTGGTTTGTGTATTTTTGGAGTAGTCTATGGGCTCGCATAGACTACTCAAAGAAAGTCCAAGTAGTAGTGGAAACTTTGATGGCCATAATGCAAATTCTTCTAGTGGTCCTTGGACTACTAGTAGTGAAGATTTTCATAGGCCTCTAGGTATTTTCAAGTGGTTTGTGTATTTTTGGAGTAGTCTATGGGCTCGCATAGACTACTCAAAGAAAGTCCAAGTAGTAGTGGTAATTTTGATGGCCATAATGCAAATTCTTCTAGTCGTCGTTGGACTACTGCAAAGAAAACCCATGTAGTAGTGAAGATTTTCATAGGCCACTAGGTATTTTCTAGTGCATAATGTATTTTTGAGTAGTCTATGGGCTCGCTTAGACTACTCAAAGAAAGTCCAAGTAGTAGTGGAAATTTTGATGGCCATAATGCAAATTCTTCTAGTCGTCGTTGTATTTTTCTACTCCATGGTAAGCTCTCGGCTATCATCAGCAACATAGCAGTTAGCGGTATCGCGTGCATACTAAATGACTACGATGGAGGTCTTGATTCGGCTGTAACGAGTGTCATGGTGCGATACCCTAGACACTATACTGTAGTGTAGTGCGAGGATATCGTTCTCTACACAAGCAATCCGTAGGTTGGTGCTGTCTTACTTCAATTTCCACCGAATTGGCGCTAGTCTTCTTCTTCTTCCTCCAGCAAAGCCAACATGAGTGCAAAGTAAGTTGAGAAATGATGTCAGTACTAGGCAGACATAGCTTGCCTCTTATTAGAGTATTTAAAACGCGATTGCAATCGATGATGGTATAGCATGGAGAAGTGTTATGAAATGAGATTGTCCTTCGTTATGTTCATAACTTTCTACATTACCGTCGAGAAGCTCACTACAACTTGAACTTATTCCGCTTGACTATCGTAGCACAGTCACTTAGGCATAAAAGTTGTAGTATGTAAATCCATTTATTGGACTTGTCTACAGATTTCGAATAAATCTTCCTTGTGACAATGTAGAAGAATTTACAAAACGTAACAATCCATGACTAGCTTGATGAAGTGTGAAAATCATGCTCCATCGTCGATATCAACAACGCTTATTTGGTTGATTGTATTTTTTCTTGACAGCGATGCCTACCTTCCTTGCCAAGTTACGGCAGTCTCTGATCCATTCGATGCAAATTACTCCTGTATTGTACTGGTTGCTACCTCCATTGATGCTATAGATGATAGCTGGACTCAAATCAAAGGTGCTCTTCAATCCCGTTCGAAGGTAAACCGTTCTACAATCTCATCATCAATATTCGAGCGTCAATTGGAATTGTAATGGATGCTTTTCATTTTTCAATCCGTAAAATAGCTAGGAATAAAAAGTACAGTAGTCACCTTTATATGTATAATACATCTGTAGCATGTTTTCACATTAGCATCGACGAATGGATGTAGAATTGCCAGTCTGCCATCGTAGTCAAGAGTAGCACGAAGGATTCAAACAACTGCTAGTATCAGCTCAAAGTAGAGAGATAGACATATACAACATAAAAAGGGATCGTTGTGCATTACACGGAATAACTTGATACTTGTATTGGCGTAAAGCAGTAAAGTAGAATGATGCAATCTTTGAAATTGTAAATAGCGATTACATCAAGGCCATACTAATTACAGTACATTCGAAAAAGGGAAAGGCTTGATAATGCAGTGCCACTACACTGCAGAAAAATCATTGCCTTCTTGCAATAAAATGCAACAGCAGACTATCAATCTTGCTATCACACAACAATAACAAAGTTTAATCGTCAAGTTGAGCAACTTTCTACTGCTTTCATTTTATCTTATAGATCGATGCCTCCTTCAATTCTGGCACTCACATTTTAGAAGTCACCAACAGAGCCTTGGTAAAAAGGACATAACTATAAATTAACCTCGTTGAGACGATTGTAACAACAAGTTATCGCTCACGAGATTTGTCAAATCGTATCCTTAATTCATTAATGAATAATGATGCATTACTTGCATTAGAAGACGCATAGATCAAATCTCCTATGCAATCCTGTACATAATTAACGAATGACTGATGTTATTTTAGTTTACTCTAACTTGTTGAATCTAAAGTGTAAAGCTGTTCATTCTATCACAGTTTAAGCTAGCTTTCATTCGATAGACGTATACCTTCATGCAGTTAGTGTAGTAACACAATTACCAATAGCACTTGCGGCAACGGTCAATGAGTCCTTATAAAGAAGCAATAATGCTGTCCTCTTTACTTTTCAATCATTTTACAGTGTATAGAATGAATTGGTTACTTCATAAAATGGTAAACTTACGATTTTGAATATTAATAGATTTATGCTCCCACTGGACCTCTTAACCGCGATTATGACGATGTCAGGCGTATTACCGATGCTGCAAAAGCAGGCATAAATAGGTCAATTTTACGCCTGAATGATATGGAAGTATAATAATTCATAGAGCAGTCGTTCATTGATGTTCCCATCTTTTATTAGAGCGTCTAAAGCTGAAAGCAAACGCCCTCTACTCATATTACCTAGCGAAACACCATTCCCTCATTCCTTTGAATCGGGCGTGTTGGGCGCTTTGAGTGCTGCTTATGTTGTACGTTAATACACATAATAACTTTATTCAAACGTGAGTAAACTTAATCATTGCAAAAGTTGATCAAGGATATATCATGTCCTATTTCAGCCACTGGAATTGAGAGAAGCAAGACAAACGCGTTATATAGAAGAGCTAGGTGTTTTTGTCAGAAATGAGGTAAGTAATAGTACTGTAGAACATGTGCCTTGTGTTTAGTATCACCATGATATCATGACCTTAAGCAATCTGAACATAATCATTGTTACAACACTAATGGGGATCAATATGCTATATACCGTACATAGAATGAAAAATCACTAATTCCATTCCTATCGGCAATCGAGAGTGGCAGGTACTGTCTCCAATATCATACAAACGATTACAAATGTACCCAACAACTATTGCGATATTGCACACTAACAATTATCATCTCAATATTAATCACAGATTAGTCTGTCGCGATATCGGTGGATCAGATCCCGAGCGTATGGCTCCACCGAATGCCGCCAATTATGTTCAAGATGTTTTCAAGGATACACCTGTTAAGGTTATTACAGATCGATAGCTTTGACAATACCTTAGTTGACCAAATTGTATTCTGTTGATTGTGAATTAAATTGGCCATATTGGACATAGTATACAACTTTAAGTAATTCACTAATAAAATCGAAATCATTATGATAACATTGCAATTCAGGTCCAAGTAATCTCGGATGTAGAAACGATTGGCAAGGAATATCCGCTCTTTGCAGCGGTCAATCGATGTAGCGAAAGTAAACACCTTGTTGCCTTATCAATTATTAGCTCATGATATCAAGAGTAGTTAGTCCGAAATTCCTATTCTCAAAAATGGAACCAATTTTTGTATTTCTTACGCTTTAGCTGTACCTCGTCATAACGGTCGCATTGTGTATCTTGAATACAATGGCGAGGGCACTCCTGATGAGACTCTCCTCCTTGTTGGCAAGGTAGCTCTATAATTTATTGCTCTTTAAAAATTATAATAATGCAATATATTTTAAGACTACATTTCTTGCCGTATGCAAACAATACGGCTGACTAATAATAGTTGTCCGCCAGGTTCTTAATAGAAATGATTATCGTTAATATGGATAGGGAGTAACAATGGACACTGGAGGTGCAGACTTGAAAGTTGGTGGTGCTATGCGAGGAATGAACAGGTTGCTTATTAAAATAAATGCTCTTCAGTCCTCACCCACGTAGAATTACATTATAATTTTTTGTTATCGTTATTGATAAGGGATAAATGCGGAGCTGCAACAGTTGCTGGCTTCTTTCAGGTATGCACACTGATTCCGTAAAAGTTGATAATTTCTATTCAACTTTATATTGTACCTTACTTTTAGCTCGAAGTTGATCTTGCGGCACTTTTACAACTTTAATTATCGTTTATATTGGCTATTGAAGCTAACTCATAGTCAAAGATATTGCAACTACGCTGCGCTATCTGTTATTTTATTCTTATCCATATTTGACATTGTTATTATATGACTCTAGATTTTGGCTCGCTTCCGCCCAAAGAACATTAGAGTCCTAGGAGGCTTAGCTCTTGTACGAAATAGCATTGGAACAGGTTAATATACAACTGCAACAATTTAATCTCGAAATAATGAGTTTACCATGTAACATAGGACTTGTCATGACTGCATCCTACTTCTACAATTTCAGCCAATGAATTAATATCTGTAGTTGATATTTATTTCAATCTGTACTTGATTTAAATTGAATAAAATGTAGACTGCTATGTGTGCGATGAGATTATAACTTCAAGAGCAGGAGTTCGCGTTCGTGTCGTCAATACTGATGCAGAGGGCAGGATGGCAATGTGCGACGTCTTATGTCGTATGAAAGAATTGGTGAGTCGTTGCTTTTTAGCTGATTTACTGATTTAATAATAATAACTATTGTCATCATAATTAGCACAATTGGTGATCAAAATTTAGTAACACGGTAACTCTTTTTTCAAAATGAACTTACAATTATATAGGCACAAAATGAAGTGAACCCTCACATTATGACCATTGCAACTTTAACAGGTCACGCAGTGATCGCCGTTGGAACCAGTTACTCTGTAAATTTCGCCCTTTTCAATTGTTTTTATTTGTAGAAATTATAACTTGATAGCACCTGAATATTCAATTTTCTTATAGTGTGTCTTAGATAACGGCCCAGCTAAGAAAGTTCAAACTGCATGTAAATTACAGTGTGGTAAGTTTACAAACCCAAAATGCATACTTAAATTTCTGAGTTCATCAGATGGCACTGTAGCACTTATTAAACTATCATTATGGGCAAATTTAATGTTATGCTGCAGCGTAGTGCTTAAGTCACTGTGCGCATTAGTATTCATTTAATGTTGTAGGAAATATAGAAAGTACGCAAATTTTGTAATTTCTAACTTTGCTCGTACGTAAAACCGATATTGATAATTCTACACATGACACTTTATTTGTATAATATACGTTAGCCGGAGATGAAGTTGGCGATCCATTGGAAATATCAACTCTGAGACGAGAGGTTAGACTTTTGCACTTAGTAATTATCACGATGAAATTTGTACTACTCGTATCCTTCAGTGGTATCCATAGCATTATAAATTCGAAAGGTGATCATTTCTCTTATTAATGCATCATAATAGGATTACGACTTTGTTGGACCAGAATCAGTATATGAAGATGTAAGACAATGTAACGATTTACCATCTTCTAGAACTCCGCGTGGACATCAATTTCCAGCAGCCTTTATGATTCGTGCTTCTGGACTTGACAAGGTAATTTGATTAATCATCATTTCTAATTACACTTGCAAGAGAGACTGCAATATCATGTCACTAAGTTCGCAGTCACATTGTTTACGGGTGTTTACAATTTTAGCTTGATCATGAATATCGAAAAATCCATAAATGAATAAAAGTTCAATAGTAACATCCATAGAGAAATAAATATTCGTCTCTTTAGCGTCAAAGCTTATTTTCTAGTTCTAGATAGTACCCACATGGTACCGAAGACTACTAAATATTTTTTTCGAGTGTTATGATCACTGAAGTATCATTACTGATATTGCAATTTCAAAGCCTGATTGCCATAGTACTCTTGCTATTGATGTTGTCTGATTTGCGTAATTTGATTTACATAACATCAAAATCTCCTAAATTGCAGTGCAAAGACTAGTAAAGATATAATCGTATGTGTAAAACTCATGAAGGCCTTATAAATACTCTCTATAGTTCGGTATTGACGCAGAGAATCCTATTCGCTACACCCACTTTGATATTGCTGGATCAGCCGGTTTGTCTCCTAGAGTTATCCCTACGGCAGCCCCATTGCCTGCTCTGGCCCAGAGATATCTTCGAGACAGATCCTAGATGATAGTGTTTAGAGAATCGTATTGCGATTTTTTAATATTTCAGGTTACTAAACTATATATTATGTTAGATTTTCTAGCGAAGATGGATGTCACTATGTACTAGATTCTTGAAGATGTTTAACAAATGGTTAGGCAAATACTGCTGTTAACTATTAGAAATCAGCAGTCGAACATCTGACTGGCAGATTTCGGATTAAAAGTAGCCGTATACGTATAACAAATTAAAATTTGTTTTGTTGTTGTAAGAATAATTCAATAAAGTGACAATTTCTTAAGTTACAACCTGAATATCAGTTATTGATGTCATGCAAGCAAATTGACCGAGATCTATTGATGATATTATAAACAGAACGCTGTTCGAATGAACTGTAGTAGACTCGTGAATTAGTAAGTATAATCACGATACAGTAAAAGTAAAGATTTTATATCAATTTTATTTCTCGAAATCCGATCTTATTTTAGTGGTATCCTTTAGAAATAAGTCTTAGAAGAGCCTATTGCGTAGTATTCACTATACGAGTATTTCCTGGTAAGCACATAAAGCGGCGCAATTCAGGTTACATTTATCACTTATTTAACATCCTTATGACCGTTACTTTGATCTTGTTGTAAACTAATACTACAGCACTAAAACTAAGAATAGGTAGTGAATAATTCATCACGGTAGTAAATTTCAGATAAAAAATAACTACTGTACTTCGGTCATCATTCCGGTATTATTCACTTATTTGTATTTAATATATATTATAGTGCGTATAATGCACTCATATAAATCGACCAGTATACACTTTTAAAGTGAACTAAGGTAGTAATTCGACCAAACCGTAAAACCTTGTTGATATGTAAAAGTGGAGCCTGCCAAAAGTTGATCATTGAATATCGAATTCTATTAATTAGTTGCTTTACAATATATAGAAGATCATGATTTGAAACTAGGAAGGCATTGCGGTCAATTATCAAAATCATTACGGTAGTTATTATTATACCAGATTGCCAAACCTACAAAGAAATAAATATTCATCGTACCCCATATTTTCTTATTTCAGTGACAAAGAAAGTAAAACATATAAACGGCAAAACGTATTTGCATGCTATGAATAAAATATGACACATGATCACTAAATGGTAAATATTGAATCTATGTAACCAGCTACACTCGTGACTACATCGTGAGCGATAATTATATCTGCAGGGTGGCAATTTGATTTTAATGTAAACGTAAATTGATACACAAGCAACAAACAAAAGAAAATAACAGATCGAGCAGGTAAACGATTTTAGAAGCTTCTAAACCTTCAAAATTGCACCATTACAAGATAAAACCATACATGAATCATGCGTTTTCTGTTCAATCTCTCATTGACGGATGGCAGGCTGATGATAAATCAGTCAATGACCGCGTAATAGCCTGCTTGCATTGCATGTGCACATTATACAGGAATAAATTGCACATCAATTTTATCGCCTATTTAGTAGCTAGTCGACTTTAAATTCAACTGCTACCACTAATTATATAATTAAGAATGGCTTCTATTATAGTGGATAGTCCGGTCGTCTTGTCTTGTCCGATTAATTAAAATAAATATACTTTACTTTAGTACACAACTCCACTGGCGTACCACCTAATTTGTATGCAATCCATATTATTAGCGTCATTATAATTTCATATACTACTATAAAATACACATTCAATGGTAGACAAGTAACTATATATATACAAATGAAAAGGCCTTCTAGAATCCTTTTTTGTCGCGTTGATTCTGTCAAAGGCACGCACCTCAGCAAGGTAAAATTCGCTGTAGTCTATTTTATCATCTGCACAGTTTATATTTTGGTATTTAATGATTGCGTATTCTAATGTATCTATACTAATAGAGTGATCGTGGAAAGAGGTAATTTATCTCTATAATGCTAGCTCAGTATCTAATAGCTATCTTGCCCATTTAACAGAAATTTACCAGCACTCAATCCATCTGACCTGATACCATAAACGATCTCAGAAATGGCAGACAAGTATGAAAGTTTTTGTTAATATTTAGCAATATCGTGTCGTAGACTGATCATGAAGGATTCTCTTGGTTACATTATCACCTACCTCTTGAATCTATTTCAATTTATTTTTATCTTTATTGCACACAGTAAATTGCAGTATTGTAAAATGGTCAACTAAAACTACTAATGAACGATAGAGTAGTTCGTGAAGAAAATTATCTTTTCGATTGCTTAACACGAAAAATAATGAAACATTTGTGATCCACTGTTCTCAGTCATGGACTCTTTTGCGTCTTTATGATAGCGATCAATATCTACCTTGCCGGGTAACAGCGGTTTCAGATCCCTTCGATGAGAAATATGACTGTCTTGCTATCGTTGCGACATCAATTGATGGTCTAGATGACAGCTTAAGCCAAGTGAAAGAAGCCCTTCAAGCACAAGCCAAGGTAGCATTGGTTATCAATAAACTCATTACACTTTATTGCTCGAGCTGAAGCTAGTATGTTTAGCATAATCAGAGGCAAGATCTAATCTACAAGCCGTAAGAATCTAATCCTACTTTCTTAATTCAAAGTTATAGTTTCGTATTTATTGGATTTTATCATGTTATGAATAAAGAATTTTTTTATTTTCTATCGTAAATCTCTTCAACGTAGAATGCTATTGCATTTACAATAGTACCTACGTAGGAGCTTCTTTATTTACAATTTTGTGTACATTCCACTACCGCGATTCATTTTTGCAGTCTTTATAAGAGACTGTTAATCTCTACCATTTAGCTTCTTTAAAGTCTAACGATTCATTTAATATAGATCATGATTAGTGAAATTATTGCATGCGGTAGCTACTATCAAGTACTTACGTAGATAACATCTTCCAGGCTTAATGAAGCGAAATTAATTTTAAAATAAATACGGCAAATTCTGCTTACTTTAGTTAAGTAGGCTACTTCAAAGTATTACTTCGTTACTATCAAATTTAAAGCCTTTATCTACTTCCTTTCAATTAATACAACGTAGTCGGAATTATACAATCACCAAGTCAGCTATCCTTTCTACATTTCCAATATTAATAACCACCATTTCTTAAATTATATGATTGATGTTTTTCTAAATCATATAGGTCGATGCTACCTTTGGATCTGGTTCCCACGTCATTTGCTTCCAAAGTAGACCACTGGTAAAAAAATTGACACCAACTTTAGTCATTTGCAATAAACACTACATATAAATAGTACAAATTCGGGCAATAGCAATGTGCATGCAATAGCTATTGGACGTAATAAACATAGTTAGTTGGTTACCTTCAAACAGCTAAGCACTCTGCCATCATAATGCGATACTGAAACTACGGCATGGGAGCTTAGCATGTGCTTGCATTGTGCTAGTATATATTTTCGTACTTGATAGCATGATACACGAATGGTACATCTTACTTTACTATAGCTTTGTGCAATTTGTTAAGGAAGTAAAATAAATAAATAAATGTTTCAACATCATGAAGATGCGGTAGTATAGTATTTGGCGTACTAACTTTAATCTGTTAATAATCTAGATTTATTCTTCGACTGGGCCAGTCAATCGAGATTATGATGATGTCCGACGTGTTACTGATGCTGCCAAAGCAGCAATCGTCAGGTTTTTCTTCATTTTATTCTACCATTAAGTTAAATATCAAAATAAAAATACACTGCTAACATTCATTTATTAATTAATGTAATTGTATCTTACAGGGCTTATAAAGCTGGCCACAAACGTCCAGTACTGGTATTGCCAAAGGAAACCCCATTTTCAAATTCATTTGAAGCTGGCGTATTAGGTGCCTTAAGTGCTGCCTATGTTGTATGTTTTCATTTTCCTCTGTATGAAGTAGAGCTACATCTTTCACTGACTAAGCTACATCTATTCATTAATATAAATAAATGTCCTTACTATTTCGCTTTAGCCGCTGGAATTGCGAGAAGCAAGACCAAATAAAGCTCGCAATATAGATGAACTTGGCGTTTTCGTCAGAAATGGGGTAAAGTATAAACTATTTTCTAATTTACTTATCTACTACTCATAATCACCATTTGCATTTTCCCCACCTTATTCTGCTGATCAAGTTTATTTGAATTTACATATGTTATTACGCAGCAAGAAGAAGCCCTTGTACCTTTCCTTAAAGCAATTGAAAGTGGCAGGTATGGAAGCAATTTAAGTTATAGACTGCATCATGTACCATTTGTATTTAAAGGAATAAAACAACAAGTCTTTAGCAAAGACGTCAATTTAAATTTCTAGATTGGTTTCTCGCGATATTGGTGGATCGGATCCTGAACGTATGGCTCCTCCTAATGCAGCTCGCTACGTTCAAGAAGCATTTATCGATACGCCTGTTAAGGTTATTCTAGGATTACCATATACATATTACTTACTGTAGTTAATAATATCGCCGCCACACGTTTTAAGCATAGACGAGAAATTTCCAATTAACTAATAAAATGAAAAAGTAATGCAAAGTAAAATTAATTATGACATCCTATATTGTCAATGGATATTGTTCATATTACCTACAGGTTAATGTTATATCAGACGTTGACATGATCGAAAAGGAATATCCACTATTTGCCGCTGTAAATCGCTGCAGCAAAAGTAATGTCTTATTGTCAATTAATTCGTATTCCTATGTAGGGTAGTAGTAATTTGAATATCCCTTGCCTAATTTGACGTATTTATTACTCCATTTTCCATCAATAACTGGCTACCTACTACATAAATCTTTCTGTAACCATGTAATACAACAGCGGTTCCTCGCCACAATGGTCGTATCGTATATCTCGAGTACACTGGTGAGGGCGCGATCGAAGAAACGCTTCTTCTCGTTGGTAAAGTAAGTAATTAAATTACAATGAGTTCAACCATTTTGTTAGTGTAGAAACAGTCTTGCTGTCATTTCTCTAATATACATCAATAAGAGAGCAAATGTGATATACTGGGCACTGCAGTCCAATATAAATAGAAAACTATTGAAATAGCTTTTGACTTTATTTGATCATGTAGGGTGTAACGATGGATACTGGAGGTGCAGATTTGAAAGTTAATGGTGTTATGCGTGGAATGCACAGGTAATTATTGAAATTAGAATTAAATCAGCAAGATACCAATGATAGTTGAGCAACATAAAAATTTAAACATTAAATGGCCTTAATTTACTTAATACGGTCTCTTATCTCATCATTTAAGGGATAAGTGTGGAGCTGCAACAGTAGCTGGCTTCTTTCAGGTACTTCGTCTTGTGTATTTTACCAGTACTAGTTAGAAACGATTTATTGATTTAAGCTTACTTCCGCTGCGTAGATACTCTATAAACTGATAACATAGTATATCAAAATACTGATGACTACCTTATTGATTCTCTATTTCTGCCATATTTGATTGAAATACTATCCATAAACATTATGTAAAATATTTTTATGAACAGATTTTATCTCGATTACGCCCCAAAAATATCAAAGTCATGGGTGGTATGGCTCTCGTACGAAATAGCATTGGAACAGGTTAATTGATTAAATGACTAAATTTAAAGCGTTACTCTATTAAGCCAGCTTATCTTGCTCATAATGTGATATGGTCCAAGTTGTTATTAATAAGCAGCAAGGATTTGTTATAAAAAGTTTTATAGAAGTTTATAGATAGAAGAATAGCTACGCGTAGAATGAAGTTTATCGGGCCTGTCTATACTCATTCAATGGCATTCATAATTATGAAAACGATTACAAAATTACGTTATAGATTGCTATGTGTGTGACGAAATCATTACATCTAGAGCTGGAGTTCGAGTTCGTGTGGTTAATACAGACGCAGAAGGAAGGATGGCAATGAGTGATGTCCTATGTCGCATGAAGGAAAAGGTATCATCTATCAGTAATGGAGACTAATTGAGGAGCTTACTCTCTTCAGCTTGGCAAATTAATGAAGTAATATTGATTAATCTAGATAGACCTTTCACTTTAGCAAATCCTTCTCAATGTTGTAGGCACAAAATGAAATTAATCCCCACATCATGACTATTGCTACATTAACTGGCCACGCAGTGATGGCTGTTGGAGGAAGCTATTCTGTATGTCATGAAATTTTGAATCACTTCTTTACGCAGTATATTCGGTATTGCTAAATCTTTTGTTCAGCATGCAAAAGATCACCAGTTGTAATTATTGTGAATCTCACATTAAGAAATGATAAGGAAATTATTGAGATATTTCTTATTTGCTAAAGTGTGTTTTAGACAATGGACCAGCCAGCAGACTTCACACAGCCCATAAACTACAAGAAGGTAAGATTGCTAGCTAAGCGTAAAAATGCATCCGTATAAGTTTTCTTCTAGTCTAGGGATCCATTATGACCATATTATTGATGCATCTATGCTTATAAACTATTACGATTTATCTCGTTCGTTATCCCTACGAGCTTATGTCATACCTCATCACTGCATGTATCCAGTACATTAATGTAAAATTTAACTTGAACAAGTATAAATGTACAACAATTTGAATCCCTGACATTTTGCATAATAATATTTTTATGTTAGCAGATGGGCAGAGCTTATGTCATACCTCATCACTGCATGTATCCAGTACATTAAAGTAAAATTTAACTTGAACAAGTATAAATGTACAACAATTTGAATCCCTGACATTTTGCATAATAATATTTTTACGTTAGCAGATGTGTAGAGCTTATGTCATACCTCATCACTGCATGTATCCAGTACAGTAAAGTAGAATTTAACTTGAACAAATATAAATGTACAACAATTTAAATCCCTGACATTTTGCATAATAATATTTTTATGTTAGCAGATGTGTAGAGCTTATGTCATACCTCATCATTGTATGTATCCAGCACAGTAAAGTAGAATTTAACTTGAACAAGAATAAATGTACAACAATTTTAAATCCCTGACATTTTGCATAATAATATTTTTATGTGAGCAGATGTGTAGAGCTTACGTCATACCTCATCACTGTATGCATCCAGTACAGTAAAGTAGAATTTAACTTGAACGACTATAAATGTACAATAATTTTAAATCCCTGACATTTTGTATATTAATATTTTTACGTTAGCTGGACATCAGATAGGAGATCCTTTAGAGGTTTCAACACTTCGACGTGAGGTACTGTAATAAATAAATAAACGTTGATGTTGCATCTTGTACGCTTCCTGTTGGGTCTTTGGCTCGAATAGAAATGTATTCATTTTTATCATTTTGGTAATCATTGCTACAGGATTACGACTTTGTTGGCCCAGATACAATATATGAAGATGTTCGACAGTGCAATGAGCTACCATCCTCTAGAACCCCTCGTGGTCATCAATTCCCAGCAGCTTTCATGATACGTGCGTCAGGGCTTGATAAGGTATTGCAATCTTGCATCATGCATCTCTATGTACTCGTATATAATGAATTAATTATAAGTGCGACTAGTATACCTTATAATACACTACACGTATGTTTGATCCTTTCCATATCGTGTTTATTGTCAATATTGCAGATTAAGCAGAGGATTACTTATTGATTAACTGATCAACTAAATAGTACAGCACCTACGTTTACATTACAAATAAAGTTATAGGCTAATTTGTAACCCTTCATAGACTGCCTCTGGCATGTAAAATCGCTGCTGTATACTGTAGTAGTTGCAACATTGGCATACCGGTATATACGCATATATAGTATATATTATATTGGTATATCCAAATTACAAAGGAGATGGCAATACTACACAGAAATTCATCTCACGCTATTTATATTTCCTATTTACTAAAATGAAATTATGAACTTAATCTATTTTATACTATAGTTTGGTATAGATGCTGACAAACCCATTCGCTATACACATCTTGATATTGCTGGTTCATCTGGTCTATACCCGCAAGTAAATCCAACTGGTGCTCCATTGCCGTCGCTAGCTCAACGATATCTTCGCGATAAATGCTAGATCAAAAATCCTTTTCATGTGCAGTTGCACCAATGACGTAGGATGATGTTGTTGACAATTGCAATTTTTCTTTCTTTTCTCTAAACTTGACGTTATCAAAGTCCCATATGATTTTAAGTGCAACTACATTCCTACGTATGTCTCATGTATTTTTGATGGGGAATGCCTGCAGTAAAATAGTCGTAGCGTAGTCCATGTCCAATTATCTACCCTAAGTCGTTACTGACATTATACGTAGTAGGTTAGAATGTGTGATCGTAATTTTCAGAGTTGTTTGCAACTGTGATCTTAACTTGCTAGATCTAACGCCTGTCAAGGAGAAATTGAACATGTCCTTTGCGTTTCGTTCTCGTGCATGTCCAATAGTACCATTGTACTTTCCTATTCCTAACGGCGTTCTTCGATAGATAGATGTGATCACAAGATATTTTACAAATACGTTTCATGTCGAAGACTTGTTCTGAAATAAAGTCAATAAAATAATTAATGTGTCCCCCAAAATTGAATCAAGACGTCAACATTATTTGCATAAACGTCATCATCATCCATTGATCAAGACGTTATAAATTCAATTAAATGCTTTGTTGCAGATAGGATACGCATTGGGAAATGTTTTGATTCTAATGTCGTCACTCTGTTGATAAACTAATTACATATTACAGTAGGGATATATTGAATGAAATCTTAAATACTATGCTATCGATTGCTCAATTTTACTGCTCAATCTTGCAGTAAGGTGGCATATCAACTGTCTTGATATCTACTATATGGACAGTGCACTATACCAGGGGCTATGAAACCCTTCCCTACATCCAACCATGAAATTCACCTTTTTACTCGGATTTTGCCACTCTGATCTACAATTTGCTGCTTCACTCTGCATTAGTGGTATACTGTATACTGTACAGTAAGTACACTCTAAGTTAGTCTCGACCAGTGATCTATCTGCGCTCAAGGACTTTTTGTAGTCAATAATAAAGATCGCTTATTAATGCCATTCAAGACTTTCATCTTTGCGAAATTCTATGAAATACTAAATCCTAATATTGAATAATCGATGGAAATGATCCAACCATTTCAATAATAAGGTACAGAAGGTGACCTTTAACCGTCTAGAAAACACAAAGGCAATCGCACGCTAAAAGCATTAAAAAAATCAGTTACGTCACTTTGAAATCAACATGCCCTACGCTAGAAAGCGTTAAGACCACTATGATTGAGCTTTTCACATACACGAAAAATTACCCATTAATTATCAGAATAGTTTAATCAACATTTGTATCCCCCCCCCCCCCCAAAAAAAAATGAGATTAAACGAGAAATTGATCGCTTGGACTGCAAGTGGGTAGGAGCTTGTATCATGATGAATTTGTAGATGATTTTACAAAGTGCAATGTTGGCAATAAAATGCGGATGGACAGAATCCGTGTTGCATTTGAACGTATATAACTCAATGAAATACTGTAGTTGCTGCAGCCTTGTCTAGCCTATTACATAACATCCATCAATGACGAGAGAGGAAATAGTCGCTAGTCTGTCTCGGCACAATCCAGTGCACGACTTGCTGGCTAGAAATAAATCACTTGGATTGATATTAAATTAGCATTGTCGTTTATCCTTATCGAATCTCCGTCTAGTCATTTTATTTGCCCATCATTTCCCTCTAGTACAAGGCTTCCATGGACAGCCTAGCCTACCCATTCAATCTACAATAACAGCCTTCAACAACGCATGAAATCTACTACCCAAATCCAGCTTGATTTTGTCTTGGATTCCCTTGCCCAAATTATTTGACCTACTGCAATTTGCAATAGTTCAGATATCAGGTTGCAGGTAGGTTCAGGTGATTTTGCACGAGTGACGGTACCAGCAGCACGTCCACCAGGGCTACACCTCTTGTACGTTCAACCAAATTGACCTCATCCGCATTTGTATAGAAATTCTGATGCAAATCGAGTACGCAGTCTATTTGCCTATTGTGGCGTACTGGATCAAGCACTGCTAGTCCAAAGATTTCTTTTTTTTTTTATCTAGTGGTCGTTGACGCCTTAGACTGAGTTGGGTCAGTAACGTCATGGTAACGTCATCATCGCGATGACAAAAGATCGAGATAACAAGACATAACACAATCCTCTTGGATTGTGTCTGTCTGTCTATAACCAATAGGTTTGTTTACGTCGATGAGAAAAAAAGTAATGACGCTCCTCCTCCTCAAAGTAAACCGACCATCCCACAAAATATCACATGATGTCTTATCTCAAAGCGTCACTGTTACGTTTTGTCCAATCAAATTGCTGCACCAAATAGTGTCATCGCATGAATAATTCATGACTTTCATCTGCGTCAACAGATACTTGAAGAAAAAAAAAAAAAATCAGAAAAACTTGGGACTTTCCCCAACCATCGACCATCCTCATACTCAAGAAAAGACAAAAAATAGACAGTAATCATGATCGGTAAAGCCTTCCATTTTCAATCTAATCAATGCAATTCGGTCGATGGAAGTGACGAACAAAGATCCACTTGGGTCAAGTGGACCTACTGTCCGTAGACCAGCCTTGACATGGACGGTACACAATGCCCTATTGAGGCAGCATAATACGTGACTGGTTGGTAGTGAGATATGTATCCTTCAGTCTACTTTAAGCTACCCTACTACCATGATTCTTTTTTTGCATGGGAGGCTTTCAGACAGGTCACAACACCACAGTCGCTTTTCTTTTCACTGTAGCGACTACAGTACAATAGACTGTAGCCTGCGCAACCACAACCACAATACAAGCCATACTGTCGGAGAGTACGGTACCATGTTGCCGAGAACGACTCTACTGTACCATGTAGTAGTCACACATTTTACCAGCCATCCTTTGACGGCTGTCCTGTCCTGGCAATGTGGCTAAGTACTGTAGAAGTGTGGACTGTAGATTGTAAACAACAACAACAACAACTTTCTGGACAATCTCATTCGACCTATCAGTAGAACCTGCTTAGATTGCCATCAAGGAAAAAGAGAAACGCCATAACATTTCCGTCAGTAATTTGCGATCCCATTTGGTATCATTGGAACCTCTTGAACAACAGCTGCAACTGTTGCAAACGCAAAATTAATACAGCATAGAACTGTACTTGGCTATTGGGGAATAGGGATTGATATCAAGTAATACGGTGTGTTTGTCCCCAGTGTCCACAGTACCACAAGTGATCGCAATCAAAACAACACTATCGTGGGATCACTTAACACCAGACAATCTTGGGCCTAGTTTATTAGTCGTCAACGTCATCAAGGAGAGCAATTCCACCTAAAAGTACCTCTAATCAATACAACATCCACATGGCTGACATTGAGCAAGGAATTGAAGAGCGAAATGGACATAGTCCACAAAACGATTCCAATGAAGAAGATACTCTTTCGCCTCTCAAAGATTATAAACGAAAAACAAAACGTATTTCACCACCACCTGGAGAAAAAAGCCCACAGGCTGCAATGACGTATGGTTCCAATAAGGCAAAGCTGACTGATAAACATTCACGCATTGGGAAAGGTAGAGGCCTTCCTAAAAAAGGTACTGACGGACTTGCAACATGCTTTCCTTCTTTCTTTGCACATACTGTAAAATTGGATTGTAATCATTTGCGGAACACGATTCTAGCGTCTTTTTCAACCTAGCTCTTTGTTGCACATCCGTCATAATCAATTGGAAATGAACTTCCTTAATTAATTTAAAAAACCCAACAGAAAGTCAAACTCATCGCTGTACAGTATAGCATGATAACTGCACGTATAGCACGGTATTCAATGCTTGCACAAGTGCTTAACCAATTGCAGAAAAAGACCTTTAGTCAATGCAATTACAAAATAAGATCAGCGCTACAATTGATGCATAGGATAACCAGATGATTTTGTAGAAGTACTGTACTGTTCAATGACTGACCAATCTTGATGCACAGCATACGACTGGTCATTTACGTAGTTTGCTGCGATCATCACCTTCTACTGCTATCGATTCGAAACTACTAGAAAGAAACAAAACAACGACGGTAGCTTTACAATTTGGTGTTATTGATAGGGTAGAAGATTTCAAGGATCACTATACAATTTAGTCTAATAAACTCACTACTGTTTGGTACAGTACCCTCCCTACATGTCCAAGAGAACTCTTGTAGACGGCCGATTTGAAGCCTTATTAAATTATTTATAGATTCAGCAGCCGTAAAAATGCACTAAAATTTCCATAGTCTAGTTTAAAGACCATCATTACCCATAAATCCTAATGGATAAAAATTACCCAACACTGGTCAACAAGTCTGAAACAAGCGCTATGAGAATTGACTGTCGAAAGACCCAAACCGCCTACGTATCAGCTCTGTCTAGTAGATTATTTGCTAGAAATTTGGCTCAAATTTAGTGCTAGCGAAACACTTCTTTACTGAACTACATACAATGTTGATCCCTTACGTGAGAATTGTTTTAGATTTATTGACATACTCGCTTGCAGACGAAAAGCAGATCAACTAGAGTCTGATGCAATACTGTAGGCTGGTGTACGCGTGCCTACGCTAATTCCAACAGGCACCCTGGAGCTTTTATTGCTGCCACCCCGTCACTTGTGGCAATACGCATACGCTATTATGGGATGATTAAAGGCGAGAATAACTTAAATTAACTGTAAATAAAATGTCTATACTGTACTCTAGTATGCTGATCAATGGTTACGGACGTCATTTTAAGTTTATTCTCCGTGACTTCTCACTTAGTCATCGCCCTTTTTTGAATAAAGTCTCTGTTCTCTTGGCTATACATTCAAATACAGCTAAACACAAATCGAGTTTGATATCAACACACGCACTATTCATTAATGCAATTATTACAGCATTGGCAGCAGTCGTAATCATCAGCAAAATCATTCCAGCTAAGTCGATAAAGATTGACTAAAAATTGACACAATTATCTTCTCGCTGCTCAATCTACAATGTATGTTTGCTAAATGTCATGCCAAAGACAAATAACAGTAAAAAATAACAAGAAATGTTTTATACTAGCCGCTTACACTAGCGTACTGTCGATATTATAGTGAGACATTATGGATGGACTATACAGTACTGTAGTTATAGCTCGCATAAACGAGATGGGGGTTATGCTTGTTTATAGACGTACGCTATTTGTTAAATTGCGTATAGCCATGATAATAATAATAATTAATTATTATAATCATCAAATCACATTGATAATCTTATTTTGTTCAGGCGGAGCTGGTGGAAAGGGCACTTGGGGCAAACCTGGAGTAGTCTACAGCCAGGAAGAATTACAATGTCGCGATGAGAAAGATATCGACTACGAATCCGATGAAGTAGGATAATAAATTACAATTGTATCCCTCCTACATAATGAATAGTATAATCAATGATTTAGTAAATTACTATAGTAAGACTTGATCTTGCAATTGTATACAGACAGAATGAATGATGTAGATAAACTTTCCGCTATATAAATAAAAGAAGTATTTTATTCTAGTCAATTAGTGCCAGCTAAAAGTAAATATATTAACCATAATTTAGGAATATGTTGTTCATGCGACTAGTCCCGAATTAACCGAAGAAGAGTTTGAATCCAATATCCCCCCTATTTTAAAGGTAATTTTGTACTCGAAAGTAAGGAAATAACTGTTTATATTATCGAGTTGTACGTACGACTTAATCAGTAGGCTATTAGATGCTAATTGTTGCTGCTAAAATACTGTCCATTCCTGCAAAGTACAGTAATTAAATTCATTATATCAGCAAAGACAAGCGTAGTTCTTGATCTCACTAATTTCATGTTGTAAAATTATAGGACTATCTACATCATGGTGACGCAGACGAGTTAGCGGTAGGTGCACACATATTCATATTTCCTAAATTAAGACATAAAAACAAGCGGTTACTGTGTCTTAATAATTAAGTAAGCGATATTTACTGTGCATCACTGAATGTGTTATAGGGTGCTTTAGCGGGCCTAAATGTATCAACACAAAAGCACAAGGTTAAAATTTTTAACTTTTCAAAGTTGAAATAGTACTCATTTCGTTAGATTAATTGAAACTCTGCTTTATAGGTGGTTAGTTTTGCTATTAATATGGCGATGGACAGGAAGGTTAGCCCCCCTCGACACACTAACTGACGATTTGACTAGCATTGGATTTTTCATAAATCCCTAACATCCTGCATATTTCTGTTAATTTAGGCTACGGAAAGAGAGTTGGTTTCCCAGTTAATCTCGGAGTTATATGGAAGTTTCATTTCTCAGAAAGCCATGCAAAGAGGTGGGACAATTTTGTACCTTTTCATTAATCTCGATAAATTCACAATTGATTTTATATTTTCAATATACTCTTATTTCAGGATTTAGAGATATCCTAAACAGCTTGGATGATATGATTTTGGATATTCCTGGTGCTGCGGAGGTATAGTACTGTGGTTTCACAAATCGTCTTCAATCTGTAATGTATTGATAAACAAATAGTGATAGTACAAATATAGCGGATTAGTAACATTAAAAATTAAATTGTATCTAGATGGCTGGTCAATTTATTGCTCGAGCTGTTGCTGATGACTGCTTGCCACCTGCTTTTGTTAACTCGAATGCATCGTCTGAAAGCGGAAGGTATGTAATAAATAATGTACATTTCAATGGTAATTTAGATCGCTACAGTGTACTACATTTTTCACCTAGCAACTTACAAATCCTTTACGTAGTCACAAACTTCGACTGTAGAACGTCTACTTAATATTATAACCACACCAATATTACAGATTTGCTTTAAAAAAAGCTGAAATTTTGCTCAAAGTTAAACATGGCATATCAAGATTGGATAACATTTGGGGCGTAGGAGGTGCTAGGCAATCTGTCGAGCATCTACGAGAAAAGGTAAGGATGGTTATTGCTGCATCAGAAATAATCAATTTATTTATGTAGTATTAAAACTTTACTGTCGTCTAAGTAACTGATGATTATTTACCACTGTCATAGATAATACTGCTTATTAAGGAGTACTTCTCGTCAAGCGACTTGGAAGAGGTATCTTACGTTTATTTTTCGGACGTCTTTTAATCATTTTCCTTAATAGCAGCATTGCAATGATTGATAATAAACCAATTGATATTATGATATCTTGGTAGATTAGAATGTTAGTAAATATGGATAATATTGATACACTTAGGCTACCCGTTGTGTTCAAGACTTGGAAGTCCCTCATTTTCATCATGAACTTGTTTATCAGGCACGTAGACCAAACAATTGAATTGTTATTCTTATTAATATGTGTATAGTTATAATTGTTATAAATACTATATCAACTACATATGGGATTGTAGATTATAACGCTCACACTGGAAGACGGTACGGATCGAACTCTGAATTTAACGTTAAAATTTCTCCAAAGTTTGGCCGCCTCAAACATTGTAACTCCCAATGAAGTACGGCAGGTAAGCTTGTATTAGCCTAATTGAAACTATCATTAACTCGACCTAATGATATTTAAATATTGTCTGTAGGGGTATCAACGAGTTTTCGATTCAATAAGCGATTTGGCTCTTGATATTCCGTATGCGCCCGCAATGCTGGAAAAGTTTTGTGTATTTTGCGTACAAGACGATATTATACCTGAATCTTTCGTCTCAAAGATACCAACGCGTGGACGAAAGAGATACGTTAGTGAGGGAGACGGTGGTCAGGTGAAAGAAGGAATTACGTATGGAGTGAAAGCCTAAATTTCGCACTGCACCTCGTTTGTTTTAATTTAGAATTACTGTTGTATCGTCTGTGATAGCCACTTAATGATTTTTAATTGCGAAGCAGTGTGGTGATGTTGCGCCATGTTTTAACTTTGGTACTTGTAAATGCAACTAAAATTGTAAAATAAATTCCCAATAAACTGTCATACAGAAAGTTCAATCGTTTCGCATAGTCATGTACTCTTCAAGTAAATACTGTATGAGTACAAAAATGCGTAATGTGGACTCTCTCGATTCAGACCACGATCGTACTAATTTTAATCTTTAAACAATTATATTAAAACATTGACGGGATTGACTACTAACTAGAAATGACTACACTTTCACATAATGTGAAGTATAATGATTGCTTTAGCGGTAGCCAGGAAGGTAATAATTACAGTTCACGAAAATGTTCACGCGGAGATTGTATAGTAATTGCTACAAAATTTTTATAGTTTTCATTCCATTGAAGAACGATTACAGTACTACATAATAAAGTAATGATCACATTTTGAAATAATAGTTCCTAATTGCACTTTACTATTTCAACTACCCATACTTGGTATGGACTAAATACTATACACTCACGTAACACTAACATACCACAACAAAAGTTAAGCGAGTCCCTTGATATAGTATCCAAATATCAGTTACAGTTGCGCACAATGCGAATTACTACGATATTTTACCTCATTGCGAAAAACACACGGTTTATTTTATTATCTTGTAAATTTTCATATCATGTAATTAAACTGTACAGTACTAGGAATATAGAAAAAGTGAATAATTATATAAACTGTAAAATCATCTTCACGCGTAGCATAATGGCTGCTAGTAATCTCATGGTAGTACAAGTATAATCGCTGAAACTGCTTGCACCGAATCATCAACCAAGCGTTTATGCTTCGTTTGGTGCTGGTTTTCCATAGCAAGCCGCGTTACATCCTTCACGATTTCTTGCAATTTCAATAGCGTAAAACTGGATACGGGTTACTGAATATATTAATCATGCATGGAAGGCAATAATTAATACCAATAGGATAAATGGATACGGTTTCTAACAATAACAACAAGAGGTATTGACTAGCACAAAATCATACCTAAGATGGTATTTTCTTCGCTGTAATCTTTCTTAGCATCAATTCTGTTAAGAACAACAGTCAATTAAAATAAGTTCTACGTAAAACAACCTAAGAATGACCGTTACCAGAAACTCTCCAAAGCAATGCCTTAAACTTGGAATTACCTTATTAATGTACCGAAATTAAAGTCTTCAACTACATTTTCAAATTCATTGCAGAATGTTCTCCATAACTAACATTATACAGTGCAATTGCAATCAAGTAGTCAAGAAAAGTTTGAACATCAATTACGTTAAAAAATTAATTTACCTTATTCTTATATGAGAATGATATTATTATACATAAAATATTTAAGAAGTAGTGAAACCTACAGCTTTACTTTCCTCGGATTTTAACTCTTCATTATCCAGTATATCAAGCTGTAGTGAAAGTGATTATTGTTAATTCATTGTTTTATCTAAAGATGGTTAAATCTAAAAATTTTGGCTACTGCAACTCATTTCTTTCTCATTAACACTATGTGCTTTATACAGTTATAAAACAAGAGTTAATTACACAAATTTAGAACGATTAATTTACTGTGTTAGACCTTGAATTTAGGAAATTTCTGCTTAAATTTGGAATATATTTCGTCATCGATCCTACAGTTAATATTTAATAACCACTAGATTAGTCCAAAATTTACAAGGAAGACAGATGTCATGGTATCGAGTATGGTAGATAATTTTACAGCATTAGCATCAATAATAAATACTTGGTTCTGTGTTACATAGCTTAGATATGAAACGTAAATCGATTAAACGCACGCGTATCTATAATTGAAAGCCGGCAGCACAACTGAAAACAGAAGCCGTTATGTACTTTTGAACACTAACCTGGTTAATTTTAAGCCACGAGAATCAAGGGTGGAAATTAGCTACGAAAACAAAGTATCACATTTATTAAACTTTATTAATCCCTTTCAACAATACTGTACGAACACCAAAGGCAAGGTATTAAATTCTTGTAATCATTGCAATTGCTCATAATATTTTTTACGAAAGCAAATTGGTTTAAACACGCTATGGATATAGCACTAATTACTAATTAAGAGAATGTAAGCTTCACGAGGCATAAATGTTCAGAGGGCTGAAGTAGGCAGGCATTCATAAGGCAATATGCAACCTGTTAACCATTCATTTTAAGACTGAAATTCTTCTTTTTCTTACCTTAAAATACGTGTCCGCGTGATGGTATGCTTTTATTGCCCATTGCATTTCTAAGTTTCTCTAATGAGGTAAGGAAATAGTGTATAAGAAATTCTGTTTATTCTTGTAAATATTCATTAATCTAGTTATTATTCATTACTCTACCGACATAAAGAAGGAAGACGTGTATGCAATTTACAAAACTAAGGCAAATTCGATATCCAATTTTAGACCAGTACAGAGTAAGCACGAAAAATTATTATTTCACTCTTTGAAAAGGTTTCAAAATTGCGATGTGGCTAATATTACCGTTAACCTGTAATCATGAGTCAGCTTGTAAAATCGGAAAACAACCGTAGCAACCAATTTATGCATTGACTAATGGATGATGTTAGGAAAGGTATAGTGCAGCGTTGATAATGATAAGACGAATTTACCTAAAGTTCAAGATACTGATTCGTGTATCAATGCTAGCAACGGTATATTTTTCGCATCATTCATATACGAGTATACCCCATTAACGGTACAGTCGATGTTATTGGGCAATTACTGTTCAAAGCCGTGTTGTCAAGTTATTTATTATGAGAAATAGAAGACTCAGCAAGCGTTGTGGGTTAGAAGACGGTAATATTAAGTTATGGGCTAGTTGGCAGCTACAAGATGACATCATCGTATCAGCCCTATGTTTTGCTATCTATTTAACGTTAACAAAATTTAAACTGTATACCGGTATACATAATCTATATACGTATATCATTGATGATATTATAATCGATCGTTTGGGTATATGATCATGGATATGCTTTATCGTTGCATAGCAATTGGAAAGATAGCACTTGTTTGGTAGAGTTCGACTAATACTGTATTCGTGCTATAATAAATAAATAATAATGTGGAATGACTCCATGTCCACCGACCGGAAGAGATTTATCATCAAGGTTTGATGATAAAACATGGGTGGACAGAGATTGGTCAACCACCTGCAAATTGTCTATCGGATTGTAACATGATGTACCTACGGTTCGATTTATACCATACAATGTTTCAACTACTTGACCCTTACATCATTTTCGTATTTGGAAGCGTCGGTATCCAGAGCACGAGCAGCAGTATGCATTTCTTGCACTCCCTAAGTCAAGTAGATGATGAAAAGATCAATATTCAACATTTCCAGTAGCGATCTCAACAGGTAATATCATGTATGTGATTGAGAAAGCAATAATAATTGATGCAAGTTTTTTAGTCTTGAACATGTGTTTTTATCAATTTAAATCATTCTATTCTGTTGTGTAGTTATCATCCGATGATCAAACGAACCAGAGAGTCTAATCCAAACTTGTCCATACTGTATTAAACTACTCTTCTATCGGGAATAATAACTGTCTAGCTTTCAATTTGGAGCAGCAAGTCGATTTAAGCTGGCAGCGTTGGAGACCAATCAGCCATAAGCGAAATGGAGTTGCAAACGCAAGTGGCACCGCTGTACCGTACCGCACCGTACCGTGATGGCCTGCTGGGGTCTTCTTCTACAGTGTATAGTACAGTGTACACCGTAGGGTTCGGGTTAGTACTGTACACTGTACACTGTACATTTACAGTGTACAGTACAGCTCGTACTGTAGCTAGCGCTCCCAAGTACTGTACTGTACAGTGTAAAAGGTACCGAAACTACCGTACTGTACTGTATTGTACTGTACAGTACAGTACAGTACACGTCATTACGGTGTGAAATTGAAATTCACTGTAGCACATTTCTTGCTGATACGATCATGGCGTACTGTACAGTGTACACTAGTACTATACAGTACAGTGATGGACTACTGGGGTCTTCTTCTAGCCCAGTAGTCGATGGATGGCTGTGTGGTAGAGTACTTTACAGTACAGATGGACTACTGGCGTCTTCTTCTAGCTCAGTAGTCGATGGACGAATGTGTGGTAGAGTACTTTACAGTACTATACTGTACGGTATGAAATTAAAATTCACTGCAGCACATTTCTTGCTGATACGATCATGACGTCCACTGCACATTCGTGTTGTCCAACAGCTGTAGCCCGCAGCTGCACACGGTGCACAGTATAACGTCACCCGTCCAGTGTCCAAGGTTTTTGGGTTGTTATTACGGTAGCCCCCATCAATAGGGTAAATTATGGATGAGATCATACAGTTTAACCTGTACACTATACTACTGTACTGTATACTGTATGCAGTACTACGGGATACGACTGTACACTGTACAGTACAGCAGCGATTACTCAACGATTTTTCCCCTCGAAGAATGACTCAAGTAAAATAAAATGGAACTTGCGTCATCGCTGGGTCCCATTTGGTGGTAACCGGGTACCCTTGTCTACTCGACCTCAGCACTTCCTGTACTGTCCGTCTGTATACCGTGAAAAGCCCACCCTGTTATTGCACCTGCACCGATCTCGGTACGGTACGGTACGGTACTACAAGCACTCTCGCCTATTGACTGACGTATTGATTGTAAGTGAGTATATGAACGACTGACACCAAAGAAAAATTGATATTCCTTTGCAGTTTGTAAATGACTGAAAAAGTCTAGTCAATATCTCAGCAAAATGCAACAAGATGAAGGTTTTGGAAGTGAAGTCGGATGCGTTGTAAGTGTATGAAACTCAATTGGTCTCTTTTTTCTTCATTATGATATCCAAGGGATGATCATGGTTGCTTGCATGGCAACTTTATTCAATTCAACTTGCTGCTTTGAATGTCGTTGTGGATAACCTCTCTCTATGTCCCTTCACTACAGTACTGTACTGACCATTTCAAAGGATTGATCGTGTCATCTTCAACGGTGACCACGACTTGTTCTACTGTAGTTACAATAAAATGGTCCGTCAGGCCAAGGACGACACGATAGTCCAGTACGAGTACAGTATAGCATGGCAGTAATGAAAAAGTTTGCAGGCTATTTTCATTAGGCCCCCCAAAAAGCAAAAGTGGAAATGGGCTCCTTCTTCTTCTACTTTACATGATTCTTTTTAATTTCTTGGTTGACTTTAACGAGAACAGATCAATTGACGGTAATAGCAGTCATTTTTCTCCCTTGTACCAATTCATCATACCCACTGGTGGAGTGATAAGCCGTCAGGATAAAGATCGTTTTCAATGAAATCCTTGCCCCCATGTTTTGTCGATAGCGCCGCCGTCAACCAATGAAAAGTATATAGGAGTAGACGCCCGAAACAACCAATTCCTGACTGTAGATAGATTACTGCTATCCTTTGAAGGGCATGATACCGTCGTTGTTTAGTATGGACTACTTTCCACAGAAAAATTCCAAGTTCCGTTATAAACTCAATGTTACCTCTGTACTTTTCCTATGATTGCTCAATTCACCTTCAATTATTTCTTGAATTTGTAGGGTGACGAGAATTCAGATGGCAATGAAAGTGATGACAGCGACAGCATAACCTTAAATTCCAACAACAACTGTGCCAGAGCAGAGAGTGCCACTACTAGGCGTAGAATCTCCAATGATAACAAAATTTTCTATGAAGAAAGTAGACTTTGCTTGGCTTACTTTGATCGCTGGACACCGGAATTGCAAAGTCAACATATCCAGTCTCTTATTCATAGAATGAATCATTACCAACATAGTCAAATTAATAATTTCCTAGGCCCTATGTTGCAGCGCGACTTCATTTCGGTCTTACCTGGTGAGTATTTTTGCTTAACTTGTTCTTTCAGTAATGGTGTTGGTGTAGTTACTTAACATCGACATGTTTATTAAACCCGTCCATACCGACACCTACGTAAACATGCAAAATATCCTATACTGACCACAGTACCGATATTGCATACACGTCCAACGACTACCTACAAACGTAGAATTCAAAGCTTTCAGTAATCCACCGTACAGTCTATACCTGTTCCGGAACGTCCATGGATGGATTTCGATCGTGGACAATATAGTCCTATCGCATGTAGAATACTGTACGTAGAAAGAATTTGTTCTTTTACCCTTTCTCAGGGATATTTCAATTGGATGAAAAATGGTAGAGCCCGTAGAAGCCCATTACTTAGTAATTGTGGATAAAAAAAAAAACTATTTTGCCGTCTAGTGTACGAGTACTTTAATTACCCAAAAAAATATTTGTTGTGACAACAATGCTGTGCTACTAGACATAATCGCTAATTTGGATCATACTCTATACTATTGCAGTATTTTTGACAGTAGTATGCGTCTATAGATAGTAGGACACTGTGCTGGTGTACTATTACCATGTACGTTCCCATGGAACGTTGATGATATACATACTTAGTATAGGACAGGCCGTCTTGTATGTGCAAACTTACCCTACTCAGTCTAGGAGTGTACTAGATGGATGCCCTTTTGGCATCGAAATATTTTTTCCATCCCTTGCGATATAGTACTGCTCTCTAGCGAGCGAACCAAATATCAAAATGATAAACTGTTTCACACCTTTAGCCATTGCATAAGTTCAACTCATTAGTATCGCGTACTGAAAGATTGACATCCAGTGTTATGAATACTCTTGTAGGAAGATGAAGAGTATTACCTAGTGCCAGAGTGAAGAATTGCTGTATTGACAACTTCATCATATCCATAAAATAGCGTCATTTTACAGTTGATTTAGAAAAGAATAGGTTATGTAGTCGACTTGCTGTCAAACTGAAGACCACAAGCTTTGAAATGTAAAAACTATAAATGATTTATTCTACAGTTGTCAAAGCAGAGCTAAAATCGCCCTCAACATAGCGTCAGCGTAGCCTACTCACCATGATGAATAGAACTCAAACGTCAAAAACATAACCCTTGACATTATTACAAACTACAAACATTGACGCACAACCACAGTGACTGAAGATTAGTTGAATTTCTCTTTGTAGGTGGTTCCTTAACCTGAATACCCTGTCAAGATGAACATAAATATCCTTAGGACATTTTGCATCTTGTTCAGTAAAAATAGATCACTTAACAATTATCCTATACGATCGTAGGATTGGATCTTCATTAATATTAAATTTAGAGTAGACAATAGTATACTGTAATTTAAAACAAATTCTCAATCAAATAGTTAGTTATACGTATATTGTATATAGATATGTTCTTCATCAAATCACAACGATATTAATAAACGACATCGTAGATACCCTTAGTGCAATATTTTATTGTAAAGTGTATTTGTAGAGATCCGTACCTGTTAGGCCCCAAGCTGAATTGCAATGTTACCCCCAACATTAGGAAACGCTTTCCAACGGTTGTCCAACCATATTACCATATTTACTGTTAATATAGACAGAATCAATGAAAAGCATATCTTTAATATATATATTATAATCACATTTTCAATATTATAAAATTGGACCTATACAGTACTTACTTCCAGTTTGTGTCTACTTAATTTACGATTGAAAATGAAAGAATGTGGTGTACACATTACAATAGACGATCATGACAACTATTCCTGGAAAGGTGTATTTCCCAACGGGTAAAGGATATTTTAGCAACGAATACAATCCATAAGTGTATTGTTGTACATGTAATCATGCTGTAAATGGAACAGCAATGGAGAAGGATTTTCAATGTAGTGAATATGTTTAGTCGCTTTTGTTGAAAAAGTACGTTTCTGTTATGTTTCCTTTGTACAGTAATTTTATTCTGCACTAATCTAAGCTTTGTAACTAATACTGATGTAGCATTTGATGACTATGTATAATCTACAAACTGCGTATACTGCAGCAGACTTTTCTTCCACCCTCCGTTTCTAAAGTTTCCATTAGATATGATTCTGAAACGTAATGGTCACGCGATGATATAATGAACTTATACTCTTACAGTCTTTTATTTGGTTAACTTTTGACCCTTTTGATTATAACTATTTACTACGGCGGTTGATAATAAATATAAGGATGCCAGTAACTTCGAATGCTGAATAACTAGAGTAAACTGTTGGTTAAAAAATTTTTTCGATTAATTTTACGTCGCTTGATCGATTTCTACTACGCATGTAGACGTCTGTTGTTAAAGATCTTAGATAATTATTCCTTTCTGTTCTGTACTATTACTGGTATACGAATTAGGAAGAAAGAGAAAAACGGAAGACAATTTACAACTTTTCTATTTAATCATATTATACAGTTTCCATCTCATACCAATTTACTAGTACCTGCTCATACTACTGCTTCGTAATATTTTTAACTACAGCTTTGATGAGAAGCTAATTAGTGCACATTAGTTAGTACTTTACTAGAAAGGTAGATCTTTTAGAGGATTACATGTCTTCCTTCGATAATTACGTCACTTAGTATCAGATGCATAGTGCATACATGAATACATATATAATTATATTAAGATTGTGGGGAGTAATTTCGAATCAAATTTTATTCGCTAAAACATTACATGTTTTTGTATTTTATTCAATCTTGAATGTAGCACGCGGATTAGTTCATATCGCAGAAAATATTTTAGGTTACTTGGATGCTAAATCTCTTTGTGCTGCTGAACGAGTTTGCAAGGATTGGTATCACACTATTGATAGCTGTATGCTTTGGAAAAAATTGATTATGTATAAAGTTCATACTGATAACTTATGGAAAGGATTATCTGAGCGACGAGCATGGTAAGTCAACTGGATCGGTAACTTATATATAATTTTACAACTTACTTTTATGTTTATTACAACACGCATTAATATCATCCAGTGCAATAATTTGGTGATATTTTACTTTTATTGAATTATTCTGAACTTTAGCGATTCAGTGCATCGACCTTGCGCTTGTTTAATGCTCAGTGGTAGTTTTATCTGTATGTACTGTATAATTCAGTCTGTTAAATACCATGCTAATAGTAGTAGATAGTCAGATGTTAAAATACTCTCTTACTCCACCACGTAAAATCGCTTAAAGGGTATCATTTACTGTACATTATTCATTAAAATATCATTATGACGCAATGGTTAGTGACAAATTTTATTTCGTTTTAATTCTTAAAATTTATACCAACTAAATAACAAGTAGAAGTTATCTAGTAAATTGAAAATTGGATATTAATGAAGGCAATATTGTAGTTATTGATATTGTTACTCTTTCTACAATACTGCATTGCCTTTTTCGTGATTGCTTTCCCATTGTTTATCGATCACTGTCTATGAAGGTGTTGTCTTATTTTCTTAACTAATCTGCAATTAATTCGTATTTCATTTATGTATTAATTAATTTCGGATGATGATATGATAGAGATTAAATCTGGCATAAATTTATAACTTGATTAAAAAATATAATATTAAATCGTTACATTTAAATTAATTCCTTTTGTTCTCACATTGACTCCATGTATTTAACACTTTTTATAGTGGACATTACCTAGATCGTGGCTCCGCTAGTCACGCCGACAGTTCCTACTATAGAAATCTTTACCGACAATTTATTCAGGATATCAAGGTGATAAGAATGCGCTATTCTCTGACTGCTCTTTGAATTGAAATAAAAACTGCAGCCTTTACGATAGCATTGACACAATCATTACGAAAACTATAACATAAAATTTCTCTCTAATAGTTATTATTTAGTTGCACAATATCAAAACAGTGATTTATTACATTGCATAAATTTATCGGTAAATAATAGAAAATGTTATATCATTGACTTTAAACATTAAATTGGACGTCAATTACTTAACAACATGTGACTTGAACATGCTGTTAATACTTGGCTAATAGACAATTGATACCAACTGGAGATGTGGCCGGTTTTCATTACGTAGAATTGATTGTAAAAGCGAAAACAGCAAAGGTGTTTATTGTCTACAGTACGATGACAGAAAAATTGTTAGTGGATTACGAGATAATACTATTAAGGTATGGTATCCAACTTAGATTTTTTTTACATAATAATTGTATAAAATTTAATCAAATTATTAACTTATGATTTTCCTTCTATCGTGAGAAGAATTACCGATAGTAAAAAATTTGCTACGCATTCTGTAATTTTTTGTATCTAGATTTGGGATTACAATACTCTAGAGTGTACACAGATTTTATATGGACATTGTGGTTCGGTTCTCTGCTTGCAATATGATGAAAACGTTATTGTTTCAGGGAGTAGTGATTCGACAGTAAGGTAATTAAAATTTTACTTTTTATCTTTTACGTACTGCTTGAATATCGTTAATTAAGGTAATACAATAGGAAACTTTTTGGTTAATATTTATATCGCCTTCAATGTAGGGTGTGGGATGTTAATACTGGTGAAAATAAAAATGTATTAAACCAGCATCAAGAAGCGGTATTACATTTGCGCTTTCATGCTGGTATGATGGTAACGTGTTCTAAGGTAACTTGAATTAACAGGCTATTTTATATAATTACAATGTAATGTATCTAAAAATATAATGTATTGCAACTTGACATTTTTACGTCCTTTTATTATATCATGTAGCTATCGCCTTGCAAGACTTTACATTAATTAAACATTGAATTTTAATAAACATTATTAACAAATATGTAATATCGTCATTTTTCAAAAAATTGTACTTTGTGTTTTTACGTTCTTCCATTATGTTATGATGTAGCTGTCGTCTTACAAGAATTTACATTAGACATTAAATTTTTTAATGGCGTTATTAACAAATATGCTATATCATCTTTTTTCTCTTTATAGGATCGTAATATTGCTGTTTGGGATATGAAATCTCCTACGGAAATTAATTTACGAAAAGTATTAGTTGGTCATCGAGCTGCTGTTAATGTTGTTGATTTTGATGAGCGCTACATTGTTTCTGCTTCTGGTGACAGAACAATTAAGGTTTTGTATTATATTGTTAATTCCGCATAAATATGCTACGTGGTTGTATGAATCTAATTATATTAGGTATTGCTCTCACTGCAATAGGTCTGGAATACTAGCAATTGTGAATTTGTCCGAACCCTAAGTGGCCATCGACGTGGTATTGCTTGCTTACAATACCATGGTCAGTTAGTTGTGAGCGGATCATCGGATAATACGATAAGGTAAAAAATGATTTTAAATGCTTAGCATATATGTATCGAAATTAATTTTACCTTTTTATACAATGCCTTCATAATAAGCCCCTGATCATAATTATTTGTTAATATTGGACTCTACAACGTAATAGATTGTGGGACATTGACAGTGGTGCATGCTTAAGAATACTAGAAGGTCATGAAGAATTGGTTAGGTGTGTTAATCAAGCACTTTTATTTCATTTTATCTATGTTAATGAAATTTAAATATAACAATAAAATTTCAAATGCTTCCATATAGATGTATTCGATTTGATGATAAGCGTATCGTTAGTGGAGCATATGATGGGTAAGTTTAAAAGAAATTGGCTTGAATTAAATTATAATAAACACTAGTAAAAGTAGAATAACGGAATAGTGACTTGCTCACTCTCATTTCAGCTAAATTTTAAATATTGAGTGATTCATTCTTTTCAGCAAAATCAAAGTGTGGGATATAAAAGCTGCTCTTGACGTGCGATCCCCTACGGCTACACTTTGTTTAAGAACCTTAGTGGTAAAAATTTTTATTAACACTTACTTTAACAAATTTCGCTAGACATATTTGATACATCGATTACAAATAAAATAAAATTATATTTTTTCAGAAACATACCGGTAGAGTATTCAGACTACAATTTGATGAATTTCAAATAGTAAGTAGCTCTCATGATGACACAATCCTCATTTGGGACTTCTTGGACGGGAACCAAAATGTATCTCCGCACAAACGACCTCAAACCTCACGTACTTATACATATGTTGTTAATAAATAATTTGCAAACAATGTTAATAGCATTTAATTTAATGCAGAAGAAAACTGCGCTATAGTTCTTATAGCAAACTACCTGAAGCCCACCAAAAAATGAATTATATAAGATAATGACGTATTCTTTTCTCTGCATTACTGTTATTTAGCTGTACTGTCCTATCATTTCATTGCATAAGATCTTCATGTATCAAATTATCGATATTAAGTATCAATGACTAACATTTTATTGCAATTTTTGGAACGCGGATATTGAAATGCTTGAGTAAATAATTCTAATTCTTTTGACGATAATTATTTGTTATCGAATAAATACTATAGAATAAAAATAACAAGAAATAACTACAACGTATAGCGGTTTAGACCGTCGCTATACTATTTGTAGTGAATTAATTTAATATTTCGAAAGTAATAATTAATGTATCTTACCCGTTTTTCGATCTTTCATGATCTGTAACCTCGTACGAAATTGGAATATAAATACTTTTTCTTGATATTATTTACCCCTTTTTTTATTTCATTATAATATGAAAATTTTTACACATGCGTACATTAGATAGATAGCTCATTATAATCTTGTACAATTATTGTACCTTATAGATTTAAATTTAAACTAGACATTAATAAATAACAACTAATTACATTGTAATATATATATGTATAGTTGTACAATCGGTCTTTTACAACTAATTTTACATCGTTCAGAAAATACTATAATAAAGACGCATTTCTGAAGTTGCAGCCTTGTGATAAATGTTTGGCAATCATTACAGAGCACAAATTGCTTAAGCTTGGAAATGCACCTGTTCTATAGTCATCTAGGAATTTATAATTGCAATTAGTTATTCTTTTTCTTGTAAATTGGCATCGTTAGCAGAAACGATAGCTTGATTTGATTCTAATAACTGATCTTGCTCGTCCTGGACTTCCCTTGGTACAGTATGCATAGGAATAGGGCTAAGTTTATTGTTGTTATGAAGATTGCTCCAGATATCGGCTAGTCGATTATATTTGCATGTCCATTCACTGCGACCAGGACCCCCTAACTGTAAAAACCTTGCTCCAACTCCTACAGCCTAAAGGTTAAGTAATTAAAATGTTCATAAGGTATGCCGGTAGCAATATCTGACAGGAAAATCAATCATGTTCTATCAGTCTTACCAAATCGACTACAAAATTACAATCTTCAGGTGCATAGCTATTACTTATAACCAAATGTTGATCTATTAATTCGATACAATAATAAAAACGCCAATTACAGGAAGCATTAGAAAATAGAAATCGTGATAATAATTATAATCAGAAGACATTGACAGTATATTTAATATTTACCTTGTGATGTATATACATTTGCGGCCTGAATAACATCAGACACGAGCATGGATTTACTAAGCCGCACGATCGCTGCTGTAGTTATTGACTTTTTCATTAATTTTTCATTAATGTCGATATCATGGTTATATAATCTATCTCCGACGATATAACATCGATGCGACAATCTAGAGTGAACTTCTGCCCAATTGTCATCGTCCTAAGGCATTAATTAACATAAGTTGTTGTTTAATTATCACATGCTAATAATATTTTGGTAATAATTACGACCAGTAAATCGAAGCATATTATTTGTTTAGCATTTGTATAATACTGTTATAGTTACCGGATGCAAAGCGTCAATTATCATCATAAACGCAGGGTATTTCTCAAGGAGATCAGCATACATATCAATCATTTCCTTCGATGATTTGAAAATGTTTTGCTGCTTTTCATACCTCGATTTTTCCTGTGTATTATACAGTGCAAAGTGAGACAGACCAAGTACGTATTTCTAATTTTGAAATCTACTAGCACATCGGAATAGTTTACATGGAACTAACTATTCCATTACTGATTAATTATTAGCAGCTGTACTTCTCGTAATAAGTAGCATATTTCCTATATTTCTCTGATCAAGGTATCGCTGCATACAGCAGATTTAAACTACTGAAATTTACTGCTTACATTACGTATATACGAGAATAGATAAAAATTCAAGCTACTCACAGTATCATAAATTTCTTCCGATGCGCATTTTATACCCATAAATATATCTTTCCCAAATTCTAAATGAGCATGAGTGCAAGCATCACGCAGCATATCATGTATCTGCTCAAATTTATCCATTACAGGAGCATAGCTTCCCATATCTGTAATATGTTTGTTTAAAGGCTGTATACCCCAAAATTGAAAATGAAATACAATCGAATTATGATATTAGAAACAAGCGAATGAGCATTAACTGTGTACCTTTAAATTAGGATAGCACTCACCGTTTTTATACTTAATCGACCTAATTGTTGATAAACTTCGACTACATTTCGTAATCCGTCCACATAAGGGATGTCAATCGAAGGAAAAATCATGACATCTTTAATAAATTTTATTTTTCCGCCTGACTTTACACGAGTGAGTACAATCGATAAGGGAATGGGCATAACGTAGTTTTCTCTAGCCTAGTGAAATTACGGCGGCCACAAATTATAAAAAAAGGAATATTATTAGACACTATATCACAATGGATAACATGCAAACAACATGATGCGCCGTTCTAAGCCATGCCTAAGTATACAATAAACAATTACACATACTTTGCCATGCATTAACTGATCGATATGAGCATAAGTAGGTTGTCTTGACGCAATTCCTGCACTTTGAGCAATGGCTATCGACGTGGCAAAGATATGATTGTCGTAATCGATTACTGCCATAGTCGGTGAGTGCAGCAATTTATCTGAGCTTTGATAGCGGTCCATGGTAGAATGACCACCGGGTCCCATTTTATTTGCTGAACGCTTCCTTTCCGATTGCGATCGACCAGGTGCGGAAGCATCTTCCATAGTCACAGCAGTTTCAGCAGCAGTAGTAGCTGCTGCTGCTATCTGTTCTTCATCTTTGGTAGTTGCTACACATTTTACCTCTCTGCGCGTATCAGTATTCAAGACACCATTTCGATAAAAAAAAAAGATCGATAGTACTATGTAAGAATCCAATTCGTTAAAGATAGTACCCAGCCATAACTATTTTGGTGTAGTAAAGTATGATTACCTTAAAATTTGATCAATTTCTTGTTGGTTAACGGGATTCTTCTCAAGTAACGATTCGGCAACAATTGTGTTAATAAACGCTAGCTCACGTTGAATATCCCGTTTACATTCAATAATTTGATGGTTGTTATGAGATGAAGTTTTTGTACTACTTTTTTTACCATTATGATGGCGTCGTTCGTGATTGCTGGATCCTCCGGATACATAAACACAACTTGAAGCTATTGCCTAATGATTAAATTGTTACCAAAATTTTTAAAAACATTTTTATTTAGTAATTCGATATTTTAACTTGACTTCAATATCATACTCATGACTCTTAAGTAATTACGACACAAAATGTTTTTATTTTTCGCTTTAAAGCTAGAAGCTTTGGCTTTATAATTCACTTGTTTACAATTTATCTCTAAATCTAATACGTTGATACCTTTTCTATTCCATTGATTTTGCAGCAAATGGACACTTGAACAGTTAGATTTCCTTTATTATCGTAAACTTCTTCCGCTTTTATCTAACGGTTTTATTAGCATCACAGCAATCGGTCAAGAAATATAGATGTCAATAAGATTTTGTAATAGTCTTTAAATTATTCAATTCTCTACAACTTGGTGACTTACATTGTTGATAACGGCAAGCTTTGCCAGTTGGCTAAAGTGTTCAGCCTATTTCAAAGCAATCACGATCATAATTATTTAGAGCTTGTTAAATTTGATATTAATGCTTGCAGTAATGCATACTGCAATCAAAAAAATTTCGTTACATATTCGAGAATAACGCTCTGAGGCAATGTCATAAGATAACAATGCGCAAAATAAGATCCATTGCGATCGTTCGCGGAAATGATAATATCTGAGTTTATTATATATGAAAGCATCGATAGCTTAATTATTATCACTGTACTTAGCTTGATTACTGTTCTGGAACTAATTATCTTAATAGGATAGCAAGTTAATAAAGCTAAAGGAGACAAATAATTAGCATCTATTCCAATATTTCATATCATTGATGGTCATATCACAATACTACCTAAATTTGTATTGATAAATACGATGAAAATAAAGTTGTTGAATCGCTATCTATCATGTAATAAAATTTGATATTTGCAGTTACAATGCAATTGTTTATAGATATTAAGGATGATTTCTTATTTAGCTCTAAACTGACATTTGTACGTAATATTAAACACATATGCAGAAGCGATATAAATAATTCTGTATTTTAAAAAGTTAATAATATAAATAACTATCCCGAATATACATCATTTAGAAAATAAAGGCTGATAGATTGTTATCATGTTATCCTGTAATTGCATTATGATATCCGTATTTCCCCACTCACCATATATCCAAATATGTCCTCTGGTTCATCTTCTAAAATCTTATTCAGTAATTCTTCTAATCTCTTAGGTACATCATTTTCTTTAAAATAATGAACTGCATTTTGCTTTCGTTCATAATCACGTAATAAAGTAGTGCTAGCCATATCATTGAACAATTTGAGAATCCTACTACACAACCTTTTTATTGAGTACGTATATTCTAATCAAAATGATCGGCTTTAAAGGCGTATTATTTCTGTTAATATTGCAGCACTTTATAATCTTCAACACAACGATTTAGCCAGTTAAAATCACCATAACATCGCATACTATAATAAACTATTAATCAAATTCTGACCGTAGACGACGGTTACCATGGAAAACAGTCGAACTCGAGGATGGGCAAGAAACTGTATCATACTGTATTAGGTGATTGCAGGCATGCGTAATGATGATGAATTGCGAAGTAGTTGCCATAGGAACCAAACCAAATACTCTTGTTTGTAGCGATTTATAATTTTATATAAAAGCTGCTCTCTCTTTTTCATATTGTCATGACTGGCAACGACTTGAATAACTATAATAACTACAGTACATTATTAGTTCTGATAGATAATTAGAGTTAAGTCTTACGATTTGGGGTTACAGATTTATTACGACTTGAAAGAAGATCGCGATCACTTCTTTTCTAAATCAAACGTGTTGTAATTATTATCCGGATATATCAAGATTATTGTCACCCTTTTACATCGGGTGTTAGTTAGAGTTACTTATTTATTTGCAAACTAGGACAGAAAAGCTGAAAAGATGTCGAGCGTAGACGTAAGTAAATCGACCTTAACATAATATATGTACAACAGATCTCAAATGGTATAGACGCTAGGGTACATTAATGGTTTTCAGTAAACAACGAGAACTCGATCACCTGTTTTAAAGTATAATAAAATTAGGAATAACTGTTATGGTATATCAGTAAGATTGGCTAACGTTTTATATTCTGTTTAAAAGTAGATGAAATTAAATTAGTTTAAGTCTACTGGTTCCATATGACATTAATGTGATGTGCAAGTTAATGCTGCCAGATATGGGGCAAAATCGACATCATACCGTAAAGGCCAGATTTTGGGAGTGATTGAATCATAGTTAAAATCAATGACACTAAATATCTGCTTATAAAATTAAATTCTATCAAAGATTAATTTGTTTTTCCAATTCTGTTGCTAGAAGATATCCTAGCTTTAGAATACGGTTATCGCTAAACCTTTACTTATTATTATACCGTTAACGTGTGCTGATCGATAACTTACTTTCCAAACAAAATTTAGACAATATCATATTTATCTAAACAAACTTTCGTAGTATTTCTAAATTCAAAGTATGCGTATGTCAAAAGCTTATACTATTTGCATTACCTTTTATTGGCGTTTAATTGAAATTTATATCTCTAAACGCCTTATACTGTAATGTATACTGATGCGTCATGACGATTTCCGATCATATAACAGAAATCGAGTGATGGTAAAACTGAAAAATTAGCAATAGAAGATAGTGCATTCGAAGCACTAGAGCGTGATTTTCAAGAGGTAAGAGTAACTCTGCCGTATATGAAATTACCAATATACTTGTATTTTATAACGAAAATTGTACTATAAGCTTAAGATAAATTTTATTAACAATGTTATAAGGTCTTGGGTGAGTTGATGGGCGATACGAGTCTAGATAAATTTCGCAATGAATATGAAAAAGTACACAAGGCTCTAAAAAAATCCCACGAAAATGAAAGGCGTTTGATGCAAAAATGTCGTGAACTAAACGCTGAGATTACAGCTAACGCTGCAAAAGTAACGACAGCTTTGAAATTATCAGAAGAAGATCAATCGACAATTCAATCGTTAAAACAGGTTCGCTTACGATAAGTTAAATATTCCTGTATATCATTCCTTCGGTAGTCGGATTCTCATGTACGTAATTGGATATAGGAAATTGAAAAAGCATGGAAAATGGTAGATACCGCGCACGAAAAAGAGTCGAGAGCAAGAGAAACAATTGAAGCACTTAAGAATGAAATTGCTAATTTAACAAAACTAGTTGAACAAGGTGCGGGTCTTTCCATCGGCCAAGAAGAAAGCTTAAACGAGCTGAAGAAAGTCAACGAAGAATTAATCGTGGAGCGAGATGAAAAATTAAACGATATAGTAAAGGTACGCCAGCAGATAGGCAAATAACGTCATACTTCTATATATCGAGATAATCTGTAAAGATGCATATTTCGAAGTTTGCAGTATATTGGGCAGAATACGAAAAGATTAGCAATAGTTGCTAAGCATAACATTGCACGTAATAATAATATCTGATTATGTTACCTATAAGGAGGTTATTCCGTTTTTTATTAAACTAATAAGATGATATTATGGAACGTTTGTGTCTTATACTTAATTTGGATAATCTTTCTATAAACTAAATTAGAGTTTAATAAGTTTTAATACCCTATCGTAAATTTATGAATAAATTAACATGCATGGTTTCGTTCTAGTATAATTTATTAGTTCATAAGTATTCTTAATAATATTCTTGCTATTATTCATTGCTGCAGTTAAGAGAGAACTTAAATGAAGCAAACTCTAAGATGAAGAAAGCCGAGCAAGACCGCGACGATTTAGAGATTAGAATTTCAGAAGTAATGATAAATAGATTGATGTATTTATTACCTCTGCGATTCTTCGATGAATTTACTCTTTTTGTAACTTACTATACAACTACTGTAATACTTGCAGTTGAAAGACGATATACAAGTCCGAAGTAATGAAGCAAGTCGTGAGCAACGTAAAAAGGAAAGGTTGGAACGGGAGTTAAAAGCAGCCAGACAAGATATTGATGGTAAAACCTCCGATTTAAAAAGCAAGCAATCTGAATTGCAACGTTCTAAAGAAGAAATCCAACATCTTGAACAATCGCATCGTGAACAGAAAGGCCTTCATGAGCAAACTATGAAAGATTATGAGACCTTAAATCAACGTTATACAAGATTACGGCAAGATTATGAGGCTCAGCTAATTAACACCGAACAGCTAGCTGGTGAAAATAGCCAGAAACATGCTGAATTAAAAATGAAGGAAGATGAAATATCCCAATATAAATATGATACCCAGCGCCAGACAAGAATGAGAGAAGCACTACAGCGAAAGCTTAAGCAAGTAGAAGATCAAAAGCTTGAATTTGAATCTGAGAAAGAATTGCTTAAGGGGCAAATATCTGCTATGGAAAAAGATCTGGAGAATCGTAAGAAACAAGCAGATGGGGATCGGAAGGCTATTGAAGATTTAATTCGTGAAAGGGATATCTTAAATAAGGTTGGTTTTATTATTACCATTAAGCTCAATGATTGCAATTATCTTGCAGTCTAAATACTTCAACTAATGAATTGAGCAGTAATTCAGATTTACTTTGAGCAGTTTAGAAGCTCTCTAACTCTATGGTATTATCCTGTAGTGCTAGTAATAAAGCGGTACATTAAATATCGAATCACTATAATTATCAATGTTTAATTCCTAGTCAGCATTAAGGCTAATACAACGAATATTTCTTAATATTCTTAATTAAAGTACTTGTACTTATCACAGTCAACTTCAGTCTAAATCATTCCAAATCTTTCCTTACTAGCAATAGTGTCTAGCAAGGAGAGGCAAAAAAGGTTTCTCCAATGTAATAAGCCGTCGTAGTAAATTCTACTCTTCACCTTGTTCCTAGCCAAAATATAACTCGATATTTCAGTTACACTCCTATTATCCTGGTTTAATAAGATAATTTACAACGTTGAAAATCATGGTCATGTTCTTAATGTAAATTGATTAATAACCGTTTAGAAATTGAATAAAGCGGAAGCCGCAACACACAAGCAGAAAGGAACTGTTCAGTTATTGGAACAGTCAAAGGACAACTTGAACCAAGAGATTAGGGTAAATATCGAATTGTAGCTGTCCAATGTAATAGTTAACTATAGTATACGTTTACAGCTACTAAATTATCCAGCCATTTTTTAACAACAACAAAAAGGCCAGTAGAAAATTTAAACTATATAAAACCTTTTGAATTTTCATTTGTAGAATTATAAAACTGAAGCTCAGAAACAGAGAAAGATCATTCAGGAGCTGGAAAAAGAGCGCGATCGTTATATCAATGAAGCTTCCGATTTAACACAAAAAGTTTTACAATTGATGGAAGATATCAAGGTAAGCAATCACGATATGATTTATAGTAGAAATTAGAGACAAATTTTACCAAGTTGTGAAGAAAAGGATTATCATTTTCATTTAACAACTGAACTCTATAATTGCGATTATTGTAAGCAAAGCCTTTATTGCATTAAATTGTATAGGTGAAAGAAATGCAAATATTTGATTATAAGAAGAAAATTGCAGAAGCTGAAACCAAATTGAAACAACAGCAAAATCTTTACGAAGCTGTTCGAAGTGATCGCAACCTGTATAGTAAGAATTTGATAGAATCTCAGGTATATTCCATTCCTATTCTGACCTTAATTTAGTAAAATGAAATGACTATTGAATCAATAGCAGAAATAAGATAATTCTATTTTTGCTGTGTGGAATTAACTACGCAATACTTTCTTAATGATATAATTATCTTTATTAGGATGAAATTGCCGAAATGCGACGTAAACTGAAAATTATGAACCACCAAATTGATCAATTGAAAGATGAAATTACCAATAAAGAAGCAGCTTTAGTCAAGGAACATTTAGATTATCAACGTGTTGAAAAGGAAAAAGAAGCACTTAAAGCTGAATTAAATCGCATGAAGCAACAAGCTCTTGAATCCAAAACTTACATTTCTAAGCAGCAGAATGAGCAAAGAAAATTACTAAAACTGTTAGCTGAGGCCGATGCAGAACGCTCACGGCAAAAGAAGGAACTCGAACAGGTTTCAATTATTTTCTTTATTTCTACTAGTATAAGCAGACTTTGATCTTTTTATAATTGGCTAGAGAAGATTTTATTTGCCAATTAGCATGAATGACTAACCTTGAATAATATATTTAATTGCTAGGTCATTGCTGAGCGTGATATACTTGGAACCCAGTTAGTAAGAAGAAATGATGAATTAGCGCTATTATACGAGAAAATAAAGATTCAGCAATCAACATTGA